ATAGCCTCCCTGGTTCTGTGGGTTGCAGTCTGATTGTTCTTTGCTTTATATCTAGTATTCACTTATGAGTGAGTACATACCATGTTTGTCCTTCTGAGTCTGGGTTACCTCACTCAGGATGATATTTCTAGTTCCGTCCATTTGCCTGAAAATTTCATGCTGTCATTGTTTTTCTCTGCTGAGTAGTACTCCATTGTGTATATGTACCACATTTTCTTAATCCATTCTTCAGTTGACGGGCATCTAGGTTGTTTCCAGGTTCTGGCTGTTACAAATAGTGCTGCTATGAACATAGTTGAGCATGTATCTTTGTGGTATGAATCAGCGTTCCTTGGGTATATGCCCAAGAGTGGTATGGCTGGGTCTTGAGGTAGTTCGATTCCTAATTTTCTGAGAAACCGCCATACTGATTTCCACAGTGGTTGCACCAGTTTGCATTCCCACCAACAGTGAAGGAGTGTTCCCTTTGCTCTGCATCCTCTCCAACATAGACTGTCATTAGTGTTTTTGATCTTAGCCATTCTGACAGGTGTAAGGTGGTATCTCAGAGTCGTTTTGATTTGCATTTCTCTGATGATTAAGTATGTTGAGCATTTCTTTAAATGTCTTTCAGCCATTTGTGATTCTTTTGTGAATTCTCTATTTAGCTCTTTAGCCCATTTTTTAAATCGGATTGTTCAGTATTTTGATGTCTAGTTTCTTGAGTTCTTTATATACTGTGGAGATCAGTCCTCTGTCAGATGTGGGGTTGGTGAAAATCTTTACCCATTCTGTAGGCTGTCTTTTTGTCTTATTGACCATGTCTTTTGCCCTGCAAAAGCTTGTAAGACTATTTTTAATCTACATTCCTGAGAGATATTGATCCTTACACTTCCTTAGTCTCGTTAGAGATCAGGGACAATCTTTATTTTTGTGTGTGTGTGTAGGTGGGTGGCTTGAGACAGCGTTTCTGTGTCTCCCTGGCTTTTTTGGAGCTTGCTTTGTAGACCAGGCTGGCCTCGAACTCACAGATATCCTTCTGCCTCTATCTCCTAAGTGCTAGGATTAAAAAGTATGTGCCACCACCACCTGGCCAATGTTTTTTTCTTTTTTTAAAAAAGATTTATTTATTTTATGTATGTGAGTGCCCTATCTGCATGTATACATTTATGCCAGAAGAGGGCATCAGATCCCATGATAGATGGTTATGAGCCACCATGTGGTTGCTGGGAATTGAACTTAGGTCTTTTGGAAGCCCATGCTCTTAACCACTGAGCCATTTCTCCAACCCCCGCCCCTCCCCCCCAGTGTTTTTTCTCTTAAAGTGAGTTGGAAATTATGCATCTTCTGAAGCCATGTGTGTGGGGTATTCCTTATGGGGCAGTTTGGTGATGCCATCTAGAACTCTGCATTGCTTTTTGGGAAAAAAAAAATCAATAATGGGGATATTCAGGATTTCTCTTGAGATTTTAGTAATTTGTTAATTCACAGTCTGTCTGATTAGTCATAAAGATGTTAATAATACACCCTTTTAAGCTCTGTAGGATCTGTAGTTGTGGCCCATTCATGCCTGATATTGGCACTTTGCTGGTGTTGGCTTAGCTGGAGGTTTATCATTTGTAACAATAAAAGTTTTTTGGCTGCTTTAAAATTTCTCTATAGTTGGCCTAGCTTATGTTTATGTTTGATGTTTTTCTAGCTTTTTAAAAACAGCTTTTAGATATGTATTTCATACCATCCAACTCACTAACTTGAAGTGTATGTTTTATATAAATTATCAAATACTTTAGTTTTAACTCAATGGCTTAGTCATAGCATTGCACAGTCATCACAACATTCTCACCCAACATTTATCGTTTTTGAGGCAGGGTCTCTTGTTCCAGGCTAGCTTTGAACTCACCATGGAGCAGAGGACAACTTTGAATTTCTGATCCTCCTAGCTCCGCCACTCCTGGTTCGCACAACTTAGAAATGTTTTCATTACCAGCTGAAGAGAACTCAATCCCTCTGCTATGGGCCTCTAATTCCCCCCCCCCCCCACACACACACACACAATGGTGATACTTTGTTGTACCGTAATAAAACTTGCCTGAAGATCAGAAGACAGAGCCAGCCACAGAGTTAAACATAGAGGTCAGGCATTGGTGGCACACACCTTTAATCCAAGCACTCCGGAGGCAGAGGCAGAGATCCATCTGGATCTCTGTGAGTTCAAGGCCACCCTAGACTACACAAGATTAATCCAGTCTAAGGGAGAAACAGCCAGGCAGTGGTGGAGCACACCTTTAATCTCAACACATTGGATCTCATGCCTTTGCTCCCAGTATTTGGGAAGCACACAGGTCATTAATCCCAGCACTGGGAAGGTTGAGATAGGAAGTGAAATGGCTGGGTGGAGTTCTGACTCCTTTCAGCTGAGGACTCAGAGGCATTTAGTCAGAGTTGGCGAGGTGAGAAGTGGCTATGGCTTGTTCTTTTCTCTCTCTGATCGTTCAGTATTTACTCCAATATCTGGCTCCAGGTTTTTATTACAAGACCATTTAGAACTCATGTTACATTCCCCCACCTCCATTTTTTCTCTTTATACATTTCAAACATGGAATCACACACAGATTCTTGGTGACTTCAACTTCTCTCACTTGTTAGTTACACTGTACAGTAAAAATCCTGTCTAGTTCTGTAGGGTAGAAAACATGGTTCTTCTAACAACTCTCTTCTAAGCAATTCCTATTCCACTAACTTTGGGTGCCTTCTGTAGTTTATCAGGCTACTATGACACAACACTAAAGACAGATTTAAAACTCATAAACAGTAGCTGAGCCTGACCGTACAGGCCCACAATCTCGGCTCTGGGGCCAGGGGTTTCAGGAGTGTGAGGCTGGCCTCAACTGCATGCTGGAAAACATTCTTTGGTGGCGTATACCTTTAATGCCAGCACCAGGGAGGCAGAGGCAGCCAGATGTTCTAGTTCAAGGCCAGCCTGGTCTACATAGCTAGTCTAGGACAGCCAGGGCTACACAAAGAAACCCTGTCTAGAACAAAACAAAAACCAAACAAAAAAACCCACCTCTCACCACCCCAAATCGCAAAACGCTAAGTGCTACCATCCTTTGTGAACACTGATGTACCCACAGATCTGATAGATATCAACTGTCTTTGGAATCTAGTCCACAACTTCTAGAGGTCACAGCTTGTCTTCTAGCAGACTCCTTAGAGAAAGGATTTGTCATGTCCAATGCTGTATCAACAGATTTGTCTATGTACTGAGTGGATGTAGATCCGTTTGTGGGTTGTTTACGCACAACTTACGTGTGTGACAGTGCAGGTGCCCAGGTATGCACATGTGGAGGCCAGAGACTGATGTTAAGGTGTGTGGTCCGAGGTGGCTTTATGTTATGACAGGGGTCTAGAACTCAGCAGTTCTGATGGCTGGATTGTTCTGGAAATTCCATCTCCATCTTATAAGAGGACTGCCATGCCCACCTGACATTATGTGGGTTCTGGGGCTCCAAACTCCAGGTTCGAGCCATCACCCCAGCCCATACTAAGTATACTCTTGTTCTATGCTAAGAGTTGCTGCCAACGCCTTACACTCCAGTTTCCTCTTTTCTAGGTCATGAAGTTCGCTTATATGTCCAGTTTTCATTGTCTAAGATCTGGTAAATTCACAAGTGTATTCATGGTGGCCATTCTGACTGTTCTCAGAGTCATATAGTATGTTTCTAAACCATATGTAGTGTTAAACACTTTTTTAAAGAGTTGTCTTGAATGATTATGTGAAGCAGAGTCTCACTATGTAGACTGGGCTGGCTTCAGAGTCGGGTATCTGTCATGTCTCTGCCTTGAGTGTTGGGACTAAAGGTGTGCAGCAGCATGCCTGCCTGACTTGAATTTTTTTCTTAAAGAGCTGTTCTCATCCCTTAGTCTTGTTTTGGGATTCTGCTAATTCTCAGTGTTTGTCAGCTCTCTGGAGTTCTGACTCCAGATTAATTTTTAAGCCTATCTCGATTTTTCTTTTGCTTATCCCTTCAATTGCAGATACATCCTCAAGGCAGTTGCTTCCACCTTTGGCCAGTATAACTAATGCTGCCATAAATTCAGATGCTCTTGCTTTCAATTTGGGCTTATAAAAAGAATTGGTTGGAATGTAATTGTTTAAATTGTCAATTTTTTTTCTTTTCTTTTTTTTGGGAGAGGACTGAGGATTGAACTGAGGACCTTGGGCACACTCAACTACTGAGCTACATACATCTCTGGCATGTTTATTTTTAAGATTGTATTTAGGGGCTGGAGACATGGCTTGGCTCACAGGTCCCCCCTCTCCCCCCACGGAGCTGAGGACCGAACCCAGGGCCTTGTGCTTGCTAGGCAAGCACTCTACCACTGAGCTAAATCCCCAACCCCGGCTCACAGGTTTAAGAGCACTACTTGCTGCTTTTACAGAGGACCAGAGTTCAATTTCAGCACCTACATGATGGTTACCAACCAACCATAACTGGTTCTAGGGGATCGGATGGCCTCTTCTGATCACCAAGGGCACCAAGCTCACACATGGTGTACATATATTCATGCAGGGAAAACACTCATACGTACAAAATAAGTCTAAAATCAAAGAGTCTATTTAGATCATATTAAGTGCATATTCTTGTGCAACATACCCATTAAGTACTAACTCCCAAGTGTCTTCTCCACCCAGGCAAGCATCTGCTTCCTTTGCATTTGATTACTCGGGGCATCTCATCAAGTGGAGAAGAGCATTTGTGTGACTGACTTCACCAAACTTCATCCATGCTGAGAGCGTGAGTATTTTTCTAACGTATAACCACCTTGTCCCACTCATCTAGTTCTGTACTTAAGTGGCCTCGCTTCATGGTGATTACAAATACTCCTGTTAGGAGCCTGGGTGGAAACACTTCAACTCTCTGTCTTCATTTCATACCCAGAATCAGAATTTCGGGATGCTAACTTCTGATAGGAAATAAAGTTGTGAAGAACTTTTATACAATGGCAGTTTTCACACATCCTAGACAACACACTTTATTTGCCTGAGTTAACATTGCTGACTTCCTTAAAAGATCAGTGAGGTCAAGTGTCTCCTCATGTGTTTACAGGCCATGCCTGGTTTCAACAACTGTCCCCCTTTCCCTCACAAACCCTGTGGCTTTCTGACTGGGGACCAGCCACTGGACAGTTCCCTGAGACTGCAAACTGCACCCATGACAAAGTACCTTTCTCCAACTGCCAGATGTTCAGAACTCAGGAGGCAGAGGCAGGCTGATACATAGATTAAGTTCTTATAGAAGATACATAATCTGCTTTTAAATGTATACATTACCTTCCTAATTTATAATCTAGTTGCTAACACATTGTGACAAAACAAAAATTTTCTGGCCTTGAGACCCCATTTTCCTTGTAGAATTTGTTGCCTCCATGTTAACTGGTGTGGAGTTTTAGCAGTGGAATGGAACCCAGGGCTCACCCATGTTGCTCTATGCCTGAGTTACACCACCAGCCTAAGAGAAGTTGATTTGCTGGTCTGGTTTTGAGACAAGATCTCTCTACGTAGCTCTGGCTGACCTAAAACTTACTGTGTAGACTAGGCTGTCTTTGAACTCAGAGATCCTTCTGCCTCTGCCTCCAAAGTGCTGGGAGTAAAGATGTGGGCCACCATGCCCAAACTGTGTTTTGTTTTTTTGTTTTTTTTGTTTTTTTTTTTTGGCTAAAATCTTTGATTGGAACAGTTCACTTTAATACCTACTTTCCCAGAGAATTAAAAAGAAAGAACCAGAGCCCTGTGTGAATGAAGAATTCCCTCATACATATCAAGACCACACCCAGGCTTTTGAATAAAAGAAAGTGTAAGTTTCGTTATTTTAACAACTTACAATCAAAGCATGACTGTCTCTGAATAAGTACACTTTTTGTTAGTGTTTCACAGAGTCTAGAGGGAGTCAGGCATGCTCTACCCCAAGGAACCATGTTTTGATTGACTAAATGTCTAACCACAAATATTAAACCTAAGCTCTATGTAGTAAAGGAGTAATGTATATTAACCTGTGAGCACTGTTATTTTATACTTGAATTTAAACATGAAAAATACCACACAGAAACATTTTTTTAAAAAAGATTTAAGATCATAAATAGGTCACTGTTATAACACGTTTCAGAATTTAAAAGGAAAACACATTTTGGCTTTTTATAAAACAGATTCTTTTTAAAACTCCACTCCCTCACTCGTCATGACAAGGACCTGTCTATGTTAACCCCCAGTCTTCTAAGGCACAGGACTGAATCAGAGTGCCAACATCACCAGCTGCTGTAGTGGGATACAGGGCAGGGTGTCGGCACATGGAACAGCAAGTCTCTGGACACCGTCAGTCATTGAAGAAAAAGCCCAAGTCTGAGCATTTTAATTGTGAGGCCAGGTCTGCTCTGCAGGACTTTTTCAACAAAGTAATTTTCTCTAACCAGCTGAATTCACCACTGGTGAGGAGGGGGATTTGGTAAAAACTATGGTTTCTTTAAATAGTAAGAAATATGAACGTGGAATAATAGATGGAGGCGAGCCCCTTAGGACCCAGACTAGGCTCCTAGTTGATTACCAGTGCTCAGCAACCCAGCAAAGGAAGAGCGGGGGTGTAAGCATCTGAACCCCATGCACAGCCTCTCTTGGCCCACCATCTACTGAGATGTGGAAAATCTACAATTGGATGGTTTGGTTTTTTGTTGTTGTTGTTTTTTTTTAATCTAACCAAAATGCTCTTAAACAACAATTAGGATTCCTCATTTTAAATGTCCTGTACCCTGTGATAACTGAACTGTAAAATTTTACATAATGTGGTGATTGAGTGTTAATTAAAAAACAAAAACCCCCATAAAATAAGTGATTGTCCACTGACAAAACATGGGATGAAGTTCATGACCGAATGAATCATGGAGTGTTAGTCAGCTGTAAACTTCAGAAAGTTCTAATCAGCAATTGTGCCAGGCATGTTAGAGGACATCAGGAGCGAGGGTAGCCTGTCTGTCATTCCAATTCTGACAGGGTGCACGGCCTTCGAAATTCTTGTCCACGTTCATGCAGCCATTTGTTGGATACTATGAGAAAAAAAAAAAAAAGACTTTTCTTCTCTCCTCTAAAAGCTTGTCAATAACAGTTTCAACATGGATTAAAACCCAGATAAAGGCAGATGCTGCATAAACTTGACAATGTTGGAAACATCAGATTTCATGTATGTGTATCTAATGAGGCCTAAAGTGAGCTACACGTGGAACAGCATGGATGGAACAGAACGCTTTCCCTCTGCCTCCAAGTGCTACCTCCAAATCCAAGGACAGTAAAGCAAACACGATTCTCTGATCAGTCATTGCTATCACATACACAGACAGTTACCTTGGTTCCAAAATGTTTGTTCTTGAGAAGGGTTCTTCTGCATAGCCTTGGCTGTCCTAGAATTCACTCTGTAGACTAGGCTATCCTTAAACTCAAAGATCTGTGCTTGATTCTGCCTCTTGAGTGCTGGGGTTAAAAGCATGTACCACTACATCCATAATATACTCTTTTAAAGGATCCCCTCCCCCAAATTTTCTACCCCATTTTCTGGTATTACAGAATAAGCCAATGTCACTGACTTATACAAAATATCTGAACTAGGTTGCCTACACTCGTTACTGTCACCTCCCTGGTACCCAGTCTTTATTCAACAGTTGGCTCAAAGACATAAGAAAAAAATAGCCAAAACCTTTTGCTGCTGCTTTAGACCACTCACATGATGGAGAAGCTGTTTCTTTGCTTTAGACCACTCACATGATGGAGAAGCTCTTTCTTCCCAATCAGCCTGTCCTCACTGAGGTCCAGCAGTTCACAAGCATCACAATCAGCAAGAGGATTTTATGGTCTTGCTAAACAGGCTTCCTTGCAGTGGTTATATCATAACCACTAGACACATGTAGACTGTGAGCATTTGAAATGTGGCCACTGACATACTGTAACTCACATACTGATTAATATATTATCAAACCCGTTTCTTTTCCTATTGTAGTTGTTAATGGGGCCATCCTATACCTGCAAGGTCTGAGAGGAGGCCTCTTAAACACTACACTAGAACCAAGTGCTGTCCCAGCCTTAGCACAAATCTATTCTGGCACTGAACATGCCTAAAAAGTAACTGCTGTGTGCTGAGGACACAAAGATTAAGCTAAGGCTTAGGAAAGCCCCATTAGCTCAGGGAGAAACACTCTCTCTTCCATCTCAGGCATTAGTCTGCACTGTGCCATATTCTGACTTACCCATCAGTACATGCTCTCAGACTGTGACTTTTCCAAGGGAAAGAAGTCAACTAATCTAACGCTTCTTGGAAAACTCAAGTGAAATGGAATACCTACCCTCAAAAACAATCTCACTAAAATGCTCACCTATGGGATGCAAATTTATATTCAGATCAGGCTTAGCTGAATCCCATACAACATGAAGCCATATGGCAAATCATGGGAGGAGGCATTTTGTTGTAAGGTGCAGGTTATAAATTTAAAAGTGAAATAAAGAACTCATTTTTCAGAGACTACAGGAACTATTTACCCCATTTGTTTCCAACTAGCACAGGACAGGCTGCATGGCGTGTGCTGTAATCTCCTTCTCCACTGGCAAACAGATTATACCAGAAGACAGCGGTGCCCTGTGGAGAACAACGCAAAATTATCACCAGATAAAATGCTAGGTCTTCACTTTTCACAGCACTTATATTTTCCTGTTCCTTCTACAGTAGCGAATAGTGTTCTCTAATTCCGTGAGTCTATCTATCACTTTGAAATGTTTCCTTACTCATATGGAAGTTAACACATGGTTGACAAAAGAGTGTTTTAGCCGGGCATAGTGGCGCACACGCCTTTAATCCCAGCACTTGGGAGGCAGGTGGATCTCTGAGTTCAAGGACAGCCAGGGCTATACAGAGAAACCCTGTCTTGAAAAACCAAAGTGTTTTAAAGAACAGTCCAGCAATATGGAGAGAACTACACAAAAACCAAATCTTGGAAATTAGATCTCAATTATTGTTCCTTGCCCAGCCTTTACTTAGAGATTAATGTAGTCTGAAAATCTAACTTGGGGCTGGAGAGATGAACCCAGAGGACCCAGGTATTCCCAGCACCCACATGGCAGCTCACAATTGTCTGTAACTCCAGGATCTAACACATACATACAGGCAAAAGACCATATAATAAATATAAAAGAAAATGTAATTCATTCCTGGGCCACAATCTGCAGGTGCAGCTCTACTTCAGGAGAAAAAGACCCATAAAGACAAGCCCCACAAACAAAGTGAGCTTACTTTTTTGGGCCAAACACTGGCTCCTACTTCAGGAAAAACAGTAGCTCCTCCAGCAGACACATCACTCATCTACAAGAGAAAAAAAAATTTATCTTTAGATAAAATTTAAATGAAAAAAAACAAAAACAAAAACAGAAGATTAAAGAAATATATATATAGTTATCATAAAGGTAACCTAGAATAAAAATACAAACCTTAATTAACTGAAAAAGCACATGCACCAAGGAAATCCATCATAGTGTGAAGATTTTTAAATACCACCACAAGCAGAAAATACCAAATAAAACTCGACTATGTATTGCATCATAATGTCACCTCTAAAATAAGTGACTAAAAACATTGTGCCACCATGCCCTGCTAAACCACGTATTTTAAAAATAAGGGTTACACCACTAGCCAATTGTATTTCCAAATGTAATAACGTCCTAACTACGTGTTTTTGTTTTCCCAGTGCTCAAGATCCAAGCCAGGATTCTGAGCTACAGCCTCAGTCATTAAGGCTCTTTTGACATGACTTTGGAATCCCTTCAAGTGGTTCGAGCCCATGTTCCCTCACCCCGACGCTGGGTAGAACTGAGGATGTAGTTCAGATGTAAAGTGCTTCCCTAGCAGGTGTGATTTAAAAACAGAGGACAACACTGTATGACTTCTAAAAACAGGCTGTAAAAATGTCATGTTCATGTAAAGTTTTTTGTTTGGGAGGCTGGCTACTCTCCAAGCGTGAAGATGGCCAGGCCACATGGACTGGCTACAATGCTGTGGGTATCTTTCTGTACGCTGTGAATGTATGTTGTTCCCACTGGTTAATAAAAAAGCTGCTTTGGCCTATGGCAAGGCAGCTTAGAGGTAGGCAGGAAATCCAAGGAGAGAGACAGGAAAGAGACAGGTGGGAAGAAGAGATGCCAGCCTGCTGCCCAAGGGGCAACAAGATGCCAGCAAACTGGTAATGCTACGGCCATGTGGCAACATATAGACTAACAGAAATGGGTTAAGATGAAAGAGCTCATTTGCAAGAAGCCTGAGCCATAGGCCATACAATCTGTAATTAATATAAGCCTCTGTTTACTTGGGACCAAGAGGCACTACATTTGGTGTTCAAACATGGGGCAAGAATTTCCACCTAAGACTTGAGAAAGCTTTAAGAAAGAGTTCTAAAACAGAGCCAGAGCAGCTTCCCAGTTTGTGCCTCTCATGTGGCACAGAGACGCTGCGGCATCTGAGCTTGACCTACAGCATGGAGGATTCCCGCCATGGTACACAGAGGCATCTCCAAGTGGATTTAGCTTTTGCTAGCACAGACCAAAAAAAAGGTTTCTGGGCTGCATGCTGCTTGATGGAGGCACAGACCCACTGCTTCCCAGAGTTGGCAGTGAACGTGGCTCCCAGAGCTGGCAGTAAGTGTACCTCTGCCATGTTGGGAAGCTGAATGGGGCAGAATCAACAGCAAAGCTGCTGCACAGCTGGGCAGTTTAAAATCTCTCCTAGCCAGAAAAGGATTATAGATACACAATGAGACAAGATTCAGATGGAATAAACATCTAAACGGTTTGCAATGTGTGTAAAAATGTACGTAGGCCTAGATGGGAGAGGAAAATGAGTATAGGCAGTTATATAAAAAAAATAAGGGCTGGAGAGATGGCTCAGAGGTTAAGAACACTGGATGCTCTTCCAGAGGTCCTGAGTTCAATTCCCAGCAACCACATGGCGGCTCACAACCATCTACAATGAGATCTGATGCCCTCTTCTGGCCTGCAGGCAAAACACTGGATACATAATAAATAAATAAACCTTAAAAAAAATAAATAGTTTAAAAAATAGTCTTTAAAGAGATAATAAAAAATATAAAAGAAATAGCCATGTAAAGATGGAAAATACACAAAGAGTCTGGATTAAGTATATTGTGTTTTCTTTACATTTTTGGACTGTTAAGGAGCTAACAGCAAGAAGACATTTGATTGTAAAGGCTGCTATATGAGAATGAATGAGACCATAGGTTTGACACCCTACCACCTCCACCAAAGGGAAAATCATTTAGGGGTGATTTGTCATATAACAGAAAAGTTTGATGAAATGGAACAAATATTAATTTTGGAGTTGGGCATGTAGCTCAGAGACACAGTGTTTGCTTAGCATATTTTAGGCCCTGAGTTTAATGCCCTCCCCCACACACACACACACACACAATTCTAACAAATGTAATTTTTGCTGTTTTGAAACTTTAACCATGAAAATAGCTACTGTTCTGTGCTATGTTCTAATCTGATTACCAGACATGTTCAGTTTGTGGAAAACTGTAAAGCTACATGTTTATAATGTGTGCATATGTAGATAATGTATATATAAAAACAGTCCAAATTCTAAAATACTCAACATCTCCAAGTACTAGGACTACCAATAATTTTTTTGTTGTTTGGTTTTGTTTTTCAAGACAGTCTTTCACTATGTAGCCCTAGCTGTCCTGGAACTCATTCTGTAGACCAGGCTGGCCTTGAACTCACAGAGATCTGCCTGCTCTGCCTCCTGAGTGCTGGGATTAAAGGCAGGCACCACCATCGCCAGGAATTAATTTTTAAACAACACCCTTCCCCCTCAGAGACAAGGTCTCATAATCAATGCTGGCCTCAAACTCACTATATACCCGAGGATGCCCTTGATCCTTCTGACTTCCAAGTACTGGGACTGCAGGCATGCAGCCCTATGCCTGGCCTATGACATGCTAGAAATCAAGCCCAGGCCTTCCCGCACACTGGACAAATCATGGAGCCTCACCCCCAGGCCTTTTTCTGTCTGAGACCCAGGCTGGCTTTGACATGACTGTGTAGTCAACGGGAGTGACCCCCAAATCAACTTCATGTAACACACCAAAATCAAGGAGTCATGCAATCCAATCTCAATTTAGCTGTAACTTACATAGAACAGCCACGTAGCAATTCTATTTCCTGTCCCAAGCTCTCTGAAAGCATCCGGCTCATCTTTCTGTGGATAAAGCAGTGAACAGAATGGTATACAACTCAGTAATGTGAATACTCAGGGACACAGTAGTAGGAAGTTAAAGAACATACTCCCAACACACCACCAGTGAGCTGTGCCCACACTAGCCTCTCGGTGCTTGCATCAGCCCACACCCTGGATACTTTTGGCAAAATTATCAGAGAAAACAAACTCTAGACCTGTTTTCTGAATGAATCAATAGTGTGTTCTTCTATGTAATGGTGTTAGCAGAAATTAAGGATGGGAGAAGGAAGGGGGTGTGTAGTAACAGAACAGTACTTCAGGGGGACTTGTGACGTATAGTGATGTGCCTCGGACATGACAGGAATTACATAAAGTCACATGTATGAGAGTGCAGAGCCATATGCAAAAATAAGCAGAACTGGTGACATCATAATGAGTGTTGTGAATGCACCAATGGCACGTTCTTGGTTTGCTACTGTGCTACAGTTAAACAAGACCTCAACCTTGGGGGTGGGACACGGAAGTGTCTCATACACTTATTTGCTACTTCCTAGGAATCGACAATTATCTCAAAATAGTGTGTTTTAGTTTTGTGATGTGGGGCTATAACCTGACATCACCAAAACCCCTGACATGTTCCAGTATCGGGAATAAGAGGAAAAGAGACAAAAGTGTGGTTTTTGCAGGATTCCCCAGAAAAGCGCCCAGGGACCTGAGCTAAGTCAGTAAAGAGCTGCTCCAGGCCAGGACTGTTGCCACCCTGAAGAGGCGAGTTTGTGGAATCACACAGCACGGTATCAGAGCGTCAGTGGTTATGTTGAGAGCTGATTAAATGAAGATTTGATAATGGCACTGGAACAGGCTCATGTCCACTCAGCTCCCAGACTCCAGTCTCTCTCACTCTCAAATGCACTCATCTCTCATCTCTCAGCCAGTTCAGTTCTCTCAGCTCTCATCTTTTTACAAGTCAACATTTGTCTATTTAGAACTTCCCTTTGCTTATTTTTCAAATTTCTGCTGCCCCTTATTTATTTTTTAAGGACCACACACGGTACACAGTGACTGAGCGAGCGTCTGCCTGCTGCTTGCTACAGTCTCCAGATGCACCTTATCCACAGATTTTTTTTTTTTTTTAATTTGCTTCTGCCACACTGAAAAACATTACCAAACTAAGCAACTTTAATCCTTCCCATGAGGCCAGGTCTACACTTTCATCAAACTCCTAGGGAACAGCTCCCCTCTGGAAGCAGGTGTTAAGGCGTCTTTTCTTTCCTAACGATGGGATCTGACTGTCTGACTGGAGGTCTATGGGCAAACCTCTCTCAGAGCACCAGGTGCTGACAGGAGTGCTCCTTCACACCTCCTCCCCACTGTCTTTGTTCAGTGTGTCTGTGGGAAATAACCTTTCATTCTTCGAGGCTCACCAATGCACTGAACTAAAGGTCTTCAATGTTTTGGAGTGCTTTTGCTATTGTTTTCTTCGGAGACTTCTCAAGATCTCCTGGCACAACTTTCAAGCAGTCAACGGGTTTTTATATGAAGACAGCATCCACAAAGGCATTCTTCCTGACCACACCTCAGTTCCTCTGCACCCTCTCCTCAGCTAGGCCCCGGATTCGAACCTTTTTATGCTTATCTCTCCACCCTAGTATCTCATCAGGCTCCTGTCCCTGTGCAGCAAGAAAGCCCAATCACTGCTCAGTCATCGGCTCCCTATGCCCCCTGCCCCATAACCTGGAGTTCAGCTTAGTCTCTCACTGAAATCCTCATTACAGCTGCACCATCCCCACACCCCCAATAAAGTCTGCCTGTCTTAAACAAGCACCACGAAGATCTATCTTTAAACATGGAGTACCTAAGTGGATTTAGTTTCACATACCCGTGCAAAGTCAAAATGGGGTTCATACTGTCCTCCAACTCCATAATTTGCTACCTGAAGGAAAGAAAGAAAACATAAATGAGAACTATTACTATTACCATTCAAGGGCACAGAGTTTGCAAAGCAAGACTGAGTTCCTGAGTCCAACCTCTAGTATCAAAAAAGGGGGGGGGGATCAAGATTAATATTCAAAAAATTCTTAAGAGCCCCCATTTTGACCTCTTATATAGCTAGGTAAACTTTAAAAAACTATTGTGTATGTGTGCATGTGTGGGTGTGTGTGCACTTGCGCCCCTTCATGATTATATGTGCATCATATGTGCTGGAACCTGTGGAGGCAGGAAGGGGGCATTGGGTCCTCTGGAAATGGAGTTACAGGAGATTGTGAGCTACCATGTGTGTGCTGGGAACTGAACCCCGATCCTCTGGAAGAGCAACAAGTGTTCTTAATCACTCAGCCATCTCTCTAGCCCAATGCACTTTAACAAAAATAAATTGTCTTTTACATAATTTTCATCATATTAGGTTAAAGGGAAGAAGTCCACACCAATGTAATCATTCCTGCTGTAGGGTCCTAATAATTCAGATGTTCCCCATGATGCCCCAGTAAAGGAGGCATTTGGTCTAAGTCCACATCACAGTTATAACTTAGGACACAATATAAAATGAAAATGATGCTTTCTTTAACCCTATCCTCCATCACAAAATCAAATGCTGACAAATGGACAGTTAAGAGCCACCATGACAGAGAAGACGCCATCTGTAAATTATTACACTGTGTCCTTTACTTGTTATGTTGTGGAAACAACTGTATCCTCTAGGAAGGAGAAATGTATCAATTCTCTAGTAGGGTAAATGACTAGGTAAGAAAAAAACACATCAAGATGGTTTTTAAAAATAATCAGATCAAATACCCAGGAAGATGATCAGAGACTAAATGACAATTTAAGCAACTCTGATCCAGGCTCCCTGCTTTGCAGTGGCCGTCAGCTCAGCTGCTGCGGTATACTGACTGTAAGGGCACGAGGCACAGGAGCTGCTGCTCCAGTTCTTCCTGTAACAACTTACTACATACACATCAGGTCAAGGAGCAAGCACGGCATCCCTCCCAAAGGCTGTCACGACAGCACAGTCGGGACCTGTGTCACCTGCCCACCGCAGTGACAAACCCAGGTGACAGTCGACAGAGACGGCAGTACAGTACAGTACAGCACAGTGGCGAGCATGAAGGTTCGAATGCTAATGAGGGAGATATGTCCACTCTTGTCTGAGAGACTCCAGGCAAGCAGCCTGGGAACTTCCTGACGGCAGGTGAGTGGAGGGAGGAAAATGTCACCTCAGATACTTCCGAGTACTGAGAGCACAAAGGACAAAGCCAACTCCAAAGTACGCCGTGTCACAAAACGGAAGTCCACAATAAAACTGGGACAAGTACCAAACCATTTTTTTTTAACAAAAAGTACAAAACGTTGGTTCTCCATTATTTCTAAATGTTGTAAATTGTCAAGATAATTAAACAGAAAAAAGTCTTTTCAACCAATGGTCCTGGGACAATTGACACCCACTCGGAAGTGATGAAGCTGGAGCCGCCTCACCATACCACATGTGAAACACCATCCAAATGGATGTAAGTGGTAACAGAATTCTTCAGAGCCAGGGGTAGAGTATGTGGTCACATGCTTGAGACCGCAGACTTGGTTCCTAGCCACTGAGGTAGAGAACGGAAGCTCTCACTACAGGAGGAAACTCAAGTGTTGGCTGTGGATCACGTGACACAAGCAGCAGAAAGTGTCAGAAAAACTGCAGCAGTGAGACTCGTGGGTAGAGGGCTCAGGCTTAGGGTAAGAGTGCTTGCTGGCAGGCAGGAGGCCCCGAGGGCAGGGTCCCGGCACCCATGTGTGTAAAAGCAGGGCCCAGCTGTGGCTGTGGAAGCCCAGCCCTGGAAAATGAGGTGAGGGTCTGCAGAGGGACAGGAGGATCACTGGGGCTCCCTGACTAGCCAACCTAACCTAGGCTCCAGCTTCAGTGAGACCCCATCTCAAGGGTCGTCCAACACCTGACTTCCTTGTGGGTGTGCAAATACACAAACCACACATAGATTAAAACTTGTGTTAATGGACACCACCGAGAAAGTGAAGATAGGTCACAGAACAGGATTTCCTATCTACAAGTCAGTTGTCTGATAAGGGACTAGTATCCAGAACATATAAAGAACACAAATCAACAGAACAGGAGAAATGACCGATAAGCCTGTGAACGGTGTTCAGTATCATTACTCATCAGGAACACGCCAGGGAACCCGGAAACAGTTCACACCCACTGTGCATGCTGCACTAACACCGGAAAAGGACAGTGTTAAGGAGGTTCATGTGTTGCTGCCACACCCACTTTGGAAAACAGCTTGAAAGCTCTTCAGATGTTAAGTGCAGGGCTGCCACATGAGTTCACTCTCACATGTACACACTCTCACAAAACACACATGGGAATTTCCCATGTTTGGTCCTACAAAAACTTGCATGCAGAATTAGTCACAGCAGCAAAAAAGCAGAAGTAACCCAGATATCCATCAACTGATGAGCAGAGAGATAAAAGGTAACTCTACGAAAGGAATCATGCTATTAAAAGAATAAAGTAGGAATACAAGCTGCAATGTACATACACCTTAGCAACATAATTTTTAGTGAAAGAAATCTGATATAAAGGTCACATGTTAAGCAATTCCTATACACAAAATATCCAGAATAAGTATATGCATAGAAGCACAAAGTAGCTAGTGGTACCAGGGGCCTGGGAAGGGGAATAGGAAGTTACTGCTCGGGGTATGGACAGTTTCTTGCTAGGGTGATGAAAACATCTGAAATTAAATCATGGTGATGAGATCACAACCAAGTAAATATACCTAAACCAAGGTAAAATGTATGACACCCAATTATACCTCAATTTAAAGAATACCTTTTAAAGAACCAAAGTCACCCCAGCCATTCATAAGAAGGCTGGGTCCAGGAATGAACAAGAAAAATTAGGGACAAGTAGGATGGCTCAGTGGGTAAAGGCCACCAAGCCGGGTAACTTGAGTCCAGTTCTGAGGACCCACAGCATATACATGCATATGTACACACCATGATAAATAATTTGAAAATTTAAAAGTTAAGTGTATGCTTAATATTAAGTTTAGTAATAGGTATCTTTCAAATTTTCAATTTCTGCAGTGGATTAGGTGTTTTGAATGCTGTGGCTTACAGGGTCTCCTGCACAAGTAAAGCACTGTCTGTTCAGTGCAGGAAATCTACAGAAGAGCCTCCTGGAGAAGCAGGAATAACTTCAGATGCTGCGGTTGCTTACCTGCAATTCCTCTGCTGTGGAAACATCTAGTCCTGTGAGATCTTGTATTCTCATGTTAATTCTAGACACCACAGGGTCTTCATAGCCAGCCAGCCAAGCACTAGGACAAGAAAATATCAGTTTTATGGCTACTGTTTCATTAGATAAAAGCCCAACAGCTGCCACTTTCAAAGCAACACAGAGGACATTAAACTTCTTCAACACAGTGTTAGAGATCAAATCCAGCCAGGACACTGAATGCTAAACCAATGTCTACCATGATGCTTCCCTCTCACCCTTAGTTTTCTGAGTTTCACTGTGGAGTTCAGGCTGGCCTTCATCTGCAGCGTCCCTTGATTCAGTCTCCCAAGCACTAGGATAACTGTACACTACCACACTCAGCCGGATAATAAACTTGCAGCTCATCTGCTTCATCTGCTCGTCTGACCGATTTTCACTAATAGTTCTTAATGGTGACACATTCTGCAGTTAGAGGAAATCCCACGTTGCATTTCTATGAAATGCTGCATTAATGGAGGGAAACTATTAATGCTACTTCCTATACTGAGAATCCTCCTTCTGCCCTCTCTCCTTTTCTCTCTTGAGACAAGGCCTCATTTTATTGCCTCATCTCCAACTTCTGGGCTTGAGGAATCTTACCCAGTCTCCTGAACAGCTGGAACTGCAGGGGCACACCACCTATTTACACTGAAAATTTCTGGACATTTCAGAAAAATACATATTAAGCTGGAAACAATTATTTCTTCTACATACAGTATAGAAGCTGACTAGATTAGGTCAAAGGGTTTGGGGGCTGCTCTACAATGATATTTTACTGGGGACAAATTCATGCATTATATGCTTAAATAACTTTTATACATACATTGCTGGCAGGAAAATAAAATGGTGCAGACAATATAGAAAACAGTTTAGCATTTCCTTTAAATGTTAGACATAGTTTACCACCAGCAATTCTACTTCTATTTAGATACTCAAGAAAAACAAAATCATAAAATACAGAAATGTTCATAACAACATTATCAGCCAAAAAGTAACAACCTTATTAATGTTCATCAATTTATGAACAGACTCACTACAAATGTAGTAAATCTAAAAACATGAATTATTGTGCCATTAAAGGAATAAAGCAAGGACGCATGCTCTAACATAAAATCTTAAAAACATGTGAAGTGAAAGAAGCTAGATACAAAGGGCCTCATGCTCTATGACTCCATTTATGTGAAATAGGCAGAACAGGCAAATCAATATGGAAAGCAATTACTGGTTGCCATGGGGGGGTATGGAGTGGGGGTAGGGTGGGTAATGAGTAACTCCATTCATGGATTCATGATTAGGGGTGTGTGTGAAAAATGTTTAAGGAGTCTGGGGAAATGGCTCAGTGGATAAAGTGTCCAGGTCCTTAAGAGACAGAGACTGAATCCTTAGACTAGCCAAACTGGCAGACTCCAAGTTCAGCAAGAGATCTTCAGTTTAAAAAAATATACGGAAAACAAGAAAGACTCCTGACATCAACCTCTGGTCTCCACTTGACGCATGAAAAAAGAAATCTGTGTTTAGTGAATGCTACTATATAAAAGTGCCTGGAATTAAATGATAAGTGTAGCACAACTGAAATACACACTTTCGAAAGGTATATTTGACAGTGGTGGCTGAAGTAGATGCTGCTTTAACCTCAGGATTTGGGAAGTTGAGATAGTACTAAGAGTCTGAAGTCACCCTTAGCTACAGAAGAAAACCCTGCCTGAAAAACAAAACTTAGTAAAAATTTAAAAAGTAAAAACAATGCTGGACAGTGGTGGCACACACCTTTATCCTAGAACTCAGGAGGCAGAGGCAGGTGAATCTCTGAGTTCAAGGCCAGTCTGATCTACAAAGAGATTTCCAGGACAGCCAGGGCTGTTACACAGAGAAACCCTGTCTCCAAAAAAAAGGACTAAATAAATAAATAAAATTTTAAAAAATGTAAAAATAAGGCTGGAGAGATGGCTCATCAGTTAAGAACATTGGCTGCTCCTCCAGAGGACTGGGCTGGGTTCCCGGCAGACATGGTAATTCCAGTTCCAGGGTATCTGATGCCTTCTTCTGGCCTCTGCTGGCACCAGGCATGCCATGCATTTATGCAGACATATTTGCAAAATATCCGTATTCATAAAGTAAAATTAAAATTAAAAAATTTTAAACATAAAAATGAAGTGAATTTTGTGACTTGGAAGCTGTACTGCCAATGTAAGGCCAAGGGTAAACCTCAGATCTCAAACAAGATGGTACCCCAAGTTCCAGTATATCCTTTTGCTGTGGGATGGTCTGTATGTCAAGTGTGTTGCTGATTGGTCAATAAATAAATCACTGATTGGCCAGTGGCCAGGCAGGAAGTATAGGCAGGACAAGGAGGAGAATAAAGCTGGGAAGTGGAAGGCTGAGTCAGAGAGACACTGTCAGCCGCCACGATGACAAACAGCATGTGAAGATGCCGGTAAGCCACGAGCCACGTGGCAAGGTATAGACTTATAGAAATGGATTAATTTAAGCTGTAAGAACAGTTAGCAAGAAGCCTGCCACGGCCATACAGTTTGTAACCAATATAAGTCTCTGTGTTTACTTGGTCGGGTCTGAGCGGCTATGAGACTGGCAGGTGAGAGAGATTTGTCCTGACCGTGGGCCAGGCAGGAAAACTCTAGCTACATCCTTTGTTCTGCTTCTGACCAGTCCATCAACATTTTCTTCCTTCTCATTAAGCTTTGATTCTACAGTCCATTGTTTTAACAGTATTCTTGCTAAAAACCTAACTTAACTGTCCAGTAAAAAGAACAATCCTGTATCACTTTCCTATCTTGTTTATTATATTTCATTTTGTAGTGCTGAGGATGAAACCCAGAACCTTACATATGCTAGGCAAACATTTTAACACTGAGGGGATATACTCAGCCCTAATTTTTTTATTTACATTAATCACAAAATAAGGTTACGGTATGTTCCAGTAAAGTTCCATGAAGCCATCTTTGAATGGTGAGTCTGTGCTTATCACAACATGAAATTTACTACCCAAAGACAGAAACCAACTTCTACTTCCACTTCCCCGACAGCTACCAACTTTTTAAATGTCTATTGTTTGTTTTGAGACAGGATCTTAAGTGGTCAGGCTGGCCTTGAACTCACTATGAGCTGTACTCCCAACCCTCCGGCATCCACCTGCCCGCTCTAGCAATTCTATACGCACTGCATCCTCCATTAAAAATTAAATAGCCAAAAGAGGAAAGAAAGGAGAAAAAGAGAGAGAAAGAAAGAAAGAAAAAAGAAAAAGAGAAAAAAAGTAAAAAGAAAAAAAAAAGATAAAAAAAATTAAATAGCCAAATATCTTCCTTTTGGACTCATAACAGGGCTTGTACTTTCAATTACTTCAATTAAAAAATTACATTTTTTAAAAGCAAGATTCCTCTACTTTAAATAATCCTGACTTTTCTTTTTAACATACAAATCTTAAAAGCATCACAGGAAAGTTGACTGAGGAATAAACAACATCCTCCGTTTTGGAGACAGTTACAGACCGCCACAGGAAGATGTCAGTAATCCAATCTGAACACTGTCACACCTCCTTCCACAACACAGATGTGAAAACTAACATGTTACAATTAGCTAATATAAAATCAATATACTGTTCCTTTGTAAAGGCAAATGATAATGCTGGGCTTATAAAGTACTAGTTCCTAAGAGCAACATTTCCAATTTCTAATAATAATTCTTTTTTTTTTCTTTTTCCCTGAGACAGGGTTTCTCTGTGTAGTTTTGGTGAGTGTCTTGGATCTCTTTCTGTAGACCAGGCTGATCTCAAACTCACAGACATCTGCCTGGCTCTGTCTCCTGAGTGCTGGGACCAAAGACGTGCACCACCACCGCCCAGCAATAATTCTTTAAGTGCTTGATGGTTGGTAAAGTAATTTTAGACAGGGCTGGAGAGATGGCTCAGTGGTTAAGAGCATTGGCTGCTCTTCCAGAGGTCCTGAGTTCAATCCCAGCAACCACATGGTGGCTTACAACCATGTGTAATGAGATCTGGCACCCTCTTCTGGCCTGCAGGGATACATGCAGGCAGAACACTGTATACATAATAAATAAATAAATCTTAAAAAAAAAAACAACAACTCAATTTTAGGCATAAATGTCATGTTTATGACATATAATTATGAAATTATAAATAAATAAATGATTGTCGGAAATCATTACTTCAGAGTGAAAAACTGAAAACTGTCTCCAAGAATAATCCACCAAAATCAAAGACCCTTCCTCCTAGTTTAAGCAGAAGACTGTTTACTTTTACAGCAGGATCTGTGCTACAGCAAGCTGACTTCAGAATTCACCCAACTTAACTGTCTTTTCACAGCGCATAACTGAACCTTTCAAACCTTAAATTCCATTCATCTCATCTAGCCATTTATCCAGCCAGCAATAAGAGGTAAGTGTTGTTTTGTTTTTGGCTGGGGGGTATTTGGTTTTCCTATAGAAAAAGACAGACATGATTTACCTGCTTAATGTTACATATAGTTTGAATTCTTGGAATCAAGCAATCCTGCCTTAGCCTCCCAGTCTGCTGAGACTACAGGTACCCATCACGGCCAGCCTGAACTTTTTTAAACAGTAGCAAACTTCCATGTGTGCCCTGCCAAAGAAAATTCCATTTGCTGGAATGCTGGAACCTTTCCTTCTACACAAAATGATATAATCACTTGGAATGTTACAAAGTGCAGATGTTGCTAGAGCAAAAGGGATTATTACATTAACTGACATCAGAACATATATTTTCTTCTATGAAACCCTTTTCTCATAATTTATAAGGGAAATAAAATGTTGGGTTTATTTATAACTTAAATTCTAATATAAACTTCAAATTTCAGGTTTTCAAAACTATGTTCAGTGGCTCAGACCTGTACTAGGGTACTCCCAAGTATTAGGGAGGTTGAGACAGGAGGATCACACGTTCAAGGCAAACTGCATCAATACCTTACTAAGGCCCTGTCTCTAAATAGAGTTAAAGAAGAGGGCCAGGGTGGAGCACCTGCTTAGCACACGATCGCTGGCACCAAAGAAAACCTGACTTCCACTAGTAATAATAAGTATCTGGATCGACCTACCTACCTACCTACCTACCTACCTACCTACCTACCTACCTACCTATCCATCTACTCATTCATTCATCATGAAATTCTTCCTCTAATAGTAAAAAACTTTATTTGTTAAAGTATACTCAATACTTCCAGTGGGAAGCTTCTTTAACAGCTAAGGTCTGTCTCTCAAAGCTTATTTTTATTTTGATACGTTTCTTTAAAAATAAATACTAAAGTCATTGAAATATAAAGTTCATTTTTCACTAGTTCATTTAAAACACACCATACTTTGCCAAGACTGGTCAAAATTCTTCTCAGGCATTGAATGCTATTGGCTGGAAGCCTTCTGCTGCCACTTAGAATGTATAACATCAAGTATGACTATGCCTTTCTCAAATAACCCAATAAAGCCACTTCTCAGGGTTATAAAACTAGAATACTTAAACAGTAAGTCTGAAATGTTTGAGAGTAGTTAGTTTTAAGAAAACAAATATTTGCAGATCACTTTCAACAGAAGTTATTTGAAACCAGTAAGAGTCCAATGATGTACTTGGCTGAGAATTTCTTCATCGTGTCTGTTTTATATATAGAAAGCTTTTTAAAATGTCATCCAAAACACTTCATTCATGAAAGTTTGGTTTTTTAATTTTTAAGATTATAATAGAACCGTATCATTTCCCTTTCCTCCTTTGAAGTTTTAAATACTCCTTAGAAGCATCCAAATTAGGAGAACCTAAAATACTTACTAGCTTTATGACTGTGAAAATGTCAAATCCATGCGCAAGTCTCTGAAATGTAGAAACAGCTTTTGGGGGATACTTTGTTTTGAGACAGGGTCCCCTATGTACACTAGGCTAACCTCAAACTCACAGATTCTCTGGTCTCGGCCTCCTGAATACTGGAATTACAAGCATGCACAGCCACACCTGGCCAAAGAAGGTCATATTTCGATTCAGTAACAGAATGGAAAATCAGTATAGGATTAACTTGAAACTAAGATTGATTACAGTTCACAGAAGCCCAGTAAAACATGTCTTAGAACAAATTCACCCAAATTAGTTTTTTGCAAATCCTCACTATCTGTTCGTGTTCCTTAAGGATAACTGCTCTGATTATTAGTAGATCTAAAGCAGACCATGACTAACTTTAATTCATCCACGTCTCTGGCAAGTTTGTGGCAAGCAGGCCACAGAAGTCTGACCACTAAGACCTGGACACAGAAATGCCAAGTGTCTGAAGAAGCAGACCCAGCTAAAGTCCCTCCAGTTTATTACTGTTAGAGCACGTCACCATTACTCAACCATTTATGTTATCAAATGATTTTCTGTTTCTTTGGGTCTTCATTTCTGAAAGCCTTAAGTCACACACACACACACACACACACACACACACACACACACACACACACACACACAATCAATAAATCAACTAAAAAAAACCCCTTTAAAACAAATTTAAAAAGCAGTAGCTTCAGACTGAGTTATTTCAACTAGTATTAGTACATATTAATCTAAGCAATTGATTAAACAGTTACTATTAAATATATTTAAACATTTATAATGAGATGGGAAGGGCTTGTATTTATCTCTATAATTGTTGCATCTGTGGAAAAATTTAACTAGGGTTAGAATCAAACAGAATTCAGTGCAATGACATTTCTGTTTTCATTTTCTGATCTGAGAAACCTTTATCACATAGGCCAGTCAATGCTGTACTAACCTTACTCAGCCTTAGTTACTCGGCTGAGCTGCACCATATTCTTAAAAATTACTTCTAGGGTTGGGGATTTAGCTCAGTGGTAGAGCGCTTGCCTAGCAAGCAAGGCCCTGGGTAGCTCCGAATTAAAAAAAAAAAAAATTACTTCTAAATGTGGCTAAAAGCGAGGAATTTGAAACTGGCTTGTAGAGGCGTCACTGTCCTTCCAGGCGTTCCTTCCACATTCCTGGTGATGCACAGATGAACTCACAGCACAGTCTACCTTGGGCCGTGCTCTGTGCAGAGCCTTTAAGGCGTTCTCGAAACATGAGACACTCACATGCCAGTGAGCACTGCCAGAGCCTCACCAGGCACTTATACTGATGGTGATTTGGAAAACACCTGTAACTGCCTGGGTCTGCTGACTGGTCCACCATGAGAATTGAGCACAGATATCAAAACCTTCCCCTGACATCTACATCTCAGAAACAAAATCATATTTTGTCAAACTTAGATTCTCAAGAAAGAACATTCCAAGTACGCCTGAAGTTCTCTCCACTGCTCCCTTACCTCTTAGATACTCTGTACTGTGCTGTGGTCAATTTCCCCGTCTCAGGGTCATGTACTGTAGCTCGGCTCAGCTACAAAAAGAAAAAAGAGAAAGGACAAGGGCTTACACTCCAGCAGGCCATGGGGCTTTGTTCACATAGGTTGGTTTTGCCAAGCCACAGGTGATTGGAAGGATTCTGATTGGTCTGCATGGTGGGTAATGGTTCGAATCAGCAAAACATTCAGGAAGGTGGCAGAAGACCAGCCACTTCTGAGTCAGGAGGAAAATGACTGACAGAATTTGATTGTAATGTATTTATTGTCCTTTCACTTTTTTTGAACTAAAATCATTTGAGGCTGGATGGAAATGATCTGCAGCAGTGGGTTTCACAGGAACTTTCCCCAGGTCTAGAAGTTTAATGTTCTTCAAATAGAGTTTAAAAAGTATTCACATGAGATCACCATTTTAAAACTTTCATCAAGACAAAACTGTTTTTCAGTCTCTCTGCATCATCCAGATCAACAGAGATCACAAGTCGTTTGGAAGACTGAACTGCTCTTTCCACAGCCAACTTTTGGGCTAGTGACTTTTTTTTTTTTTTTTTTTTTTTTTTTTAATGAAAAACTCCAGTAAGAACAGATTAGTCCACAATGACCATGACAGATTAAAGTGGACAATCACCACAGAAGAGGGTGTGAGGCACTGTAGTCCTCTACCCCAGATTAACCCACGGGTTCTTTGTCTTTATTTCCCACTCTCACAACAGAGGGAAACAGAAAAGGACCAGGCAATTTCCTGGGTGTTTAATACCTGATCTTAAAAAACAGAGCACTCAATTCCTGAGACCTGAGAGCAAACAGATAAAAACAGAACTTCTAGTTAAAGGGAGCCTGTGAAACACAAAGCATGCGTCCATGCATCACTCTTCGTATGTGGAAGGCGGCCACTTGAGCTGGAGACTGGAAATGACCTACTCCTATAAATGATAAGACTTCGGTAGGATGTTCAAATACTCTTTAGGAGGAAAAATATGCAGCATATATCTCTTACCTTTTGCTAATTCTGTAATGTACCGTCTCCAAGTCTCCTGTTATTGGGTTTGAAATGGTGGCTCGCCTCAGCTGTGAAGCCAACCATCAAAATAGTTGCATTACAAGACAAAAAATGAATCACATTTACCTAACCAGTCAGATCTCTCGGTTTTCTTTTTTTTCTTTAAACAAGAGGATGAATAGAGAAAATAATTCAATACCCTTCCAATCACCTTGTGTTGAGCCTTGAAAGCCATTTAGTTTTTTGGTGTGTTTCTTAAAAATTATTTTACTTGCTTTTGTACTACATGAATACAGGCCACACAAAAAGAAAAGACTGGAAATTAAATTTCTTCAATAGTTAGAGAATGTGATAAGAAAAATTCCTAAAATGTAAGTACAATTTATAGCTGTAAGAATGGCTGTTTAAACAGTGCAGGGTGGTGGCACACATCTTTAATCCCAGCACTCAGGAGGCAGAGGCAGGTGGATCTCTGTAAGTTCAAGGCCAGCCTGGTCTACAGAGCTAGTTCTAAGATAGACAGGGCTACATAGAGAAACCCTGTCTGGCAAAACAAAAAACAAAACAAAACAAAAGGCTATTTGTAATCAATCATCTACTCTAAAATCACCAATTGTAACTCCAGTGAGACGTGTTCACAAAGGTTAATATTGTCTAAAATTTGTTTTAAGGTCATTTATCTTTTCAAGAGATGGTATGTACTCAGTAAGAGATACAGTAAATCAGCCTTTCTGCAGGAGGTAGAAGAGCAGTGCAGCTGGGCTTGAAAGGAAAGATGATAGCCAAGACAACCATTTCAGACTTTTAAATGGGAGAGTGACTCCGAAATGACAAAAAATTAACCAGCTGTCACTGAATTTATTGATCAAAAACAATCCCAACAAAAGTATTTCCTTTGGAGACTTAGGCCTTGCATCTCAAAAGTGAATTCTTCACAAATACTCTACCAAGGAATACTGGTAAACTGGGTCTGACTACAAATAAAGGACTGAATTAGGAATTCAAGCGAGGATGAGGAAATATGGAGTCCTATTAAGGGGCATTCTGCCTGGCAGCTGATTTCCGAGACTCTCCCTGGACAGCACCCACACGCAGCACATCAAACCTTTGCACCTACAGTGCCAGCTTTTTTTTCTTCCTTTTTTTGATAAAACCAAAAAGTGTACGTTTGGAAAAAATAATAAAACTTTAAAAATTTCAAGTTTATATGGGCAGCACAAGTTGGACTTGTGGTTCTTTTGTTTTTCTTTTTTGGGGGAGGCCTCAAGGGTGGGGGGCATCTGGGAGGACTGGGTGCATGATGTGAAGTTCCCAAATAATCAATAAAAATATTATGTTTAAAAAATTTAGAAAAAATAAAAAAATCTCAAGTTTATCTAAGTACCTATACACACAACCAGGAAGCCCACCAGCCAAATCAGCTGCCACCAGCTTTTAGAAGTAAAGACTTGACTGTACCATAACCACTGCACTTATTCACATGCTCTCTTTGGCTGCTTTTACACCAGATAGCAGAGCGGAGTAGTTAGGACAGAGACCACACAGCTGACAAAGTCCAAAAAACACTTACTACCTTGACTTTTATAGAAATGTGTCAACCCTACATACTACAAAAGAAATAATAATCAGAGTTTATTTAATAACTCTACAAAAGCTTGCATTTTATTATTAATCAAATGTGCTGTCTTAAAGAACAAAATGATCGGAAAGGGCAAGGACAGAGAGATAGTCTCCACATTCTCACACAAAGACAAGCTTCTACACGTGTAGAAGACCAACACTACACGTGTAGAGTTAGGTGTAACTCACGTCCGACTGCTCTTCTTATTAAGATAGATTAAGGGGGCTGGAGAGATGGCCCAGCAGTTCTTCAGAGCACTTTGTTGCTCTTGCAGAGGACTGAGGTTCGATTCCCTGCACCCACGTGGCAGAACACAATCATTTGTAACTCCAGTTCCAGAGGATCTGACACCCTCCAGCCTCTATAGAGGCACAGCATGCACATGGTACATGGACACACATGCAAACAAAACACCCATATACATAAAAGAAAATTTTAAAAAAAATGATACAAACTAAAATTAGGAAACTATAATACTATTTTAAAATTAGCAAGATTCCTATAAAAATATACTATGTATGAAGTTTGACTTTGAGTGGTACTGAAGGCTACAAAATACGTAGAAAGGTCTTCCGGTAAGACAGCAAACACACTTCTCAAGTATGAAGAGAAATCTATGGTTTTCATTACTTACTGTTTAAAGTCCAGCCATAGGATGTGTTAGCTGTGCTGATAACAAACTGAGACAACTAGTATAAACCGTAACTTAACACCATTATGTTGGGGCAATAACACTTAAGACCATCTGAAGTTATGGCCACCTTAGTTATCCTTCCTGTCACCATGCAAAGAAAAGATTATCACAAACATTCAGTCAACTGAGAAGAAAAAAAAGTTACCCTTGGTTTTGCTAAGTCTTTGACAATTTCAATTTCTGCATCAGAAATAATATCATGGAAACGAATAATTCGAGGCTTGTCCCACTCATCCTCTTGTTTGGCTGGAGCCAGAATAAACTTAGGGTTCCGGTTTCCATCGTGGTAGCGGCAGAACAGCTTTTTTTGTCTCCGAGGAGTCTAAATAGAAAGAAAATAAGAAATATATTAGAACAATACCTTACCGTCTATTCCTCTATGGGTTAGAAACAATAATTATGTTTGCACACACATACACAGATGATCTCTGGAACAGCACACAAAGCAGCAGTATCCTGCAAATGTTTTGCATCAACCATTTAGGATCTTTAAAATGTTATTAATGATTCGTAGGGTTTGTGGGTGCAGCTTGGTGGCAGAGTGGTTACCTGGCATATGAAAAGCACTGGGTTCAATCCCTAGTACTGCAAAAAATAAAAAGATTATTTTCTGGAGAAGAGGGAGGCTTCGAATTAAAAAAAAAAAAAGATAATGTTTCTTATTTCCATCATTCTCTTATCAAATAAATTTTAGGTATCATAAAAATCAAGTAACATTTAAATGCTTATTTAAAAGAAAAAAAAAAAAAAAAAGTATGTCCAGCATTGCTCCAAAATCCAAAGTAACCAGAAAAATGCAGTTTCAAGAAGGGGGGAAAAACACAAAATAACTAAACTAAATGAAATATTCATAATTATTTCACAGTTAAAAGCTTGTGGTAAAAATAGCAGTTATGGGGGGCTGGAGAGATGGCTCAGAGGTTAAGACCACTGACTGCTCTTCCAGAGGTCCTGAGTTCAATTCCCAGCAACCACATGGTGACTCACAACCATCTGTAATGAGATCTGGTGCCCTCTTCTGGCCTGCAGCCATACATGCTGTATACATAATAAATAAATAAATCTTTAAAAAAAAAAAAAAAAAAGCAGTTATGATAATATTGTGTGTGTGTGTAATTTTTAACATGTATGTGTGTGTGTGCATGTGAGTGCAGTGCTCATAAAAGTCAGAAGAGTGTGTTGGTCAACTCTCCTGGAGTTATAGGTGGTTCTGAGTCACCTGACATGGGTATTGGGACCACACTCAAATCCCTGGAAGAGCAGCAAGCACTCATAGCCACAAAAATCTCTTCAGCCCCAGTAATAGTATATTTTTAACAGCAAAAGTGAAAATGAGTACTTAAAGTAAATTCTTAAAGAAACCAGGCACTTGTATTATTGAGAATGAGAACAGACAACAAAACAAATAAATGTTTCCTTCAATCATCTATGCACATACAGTAATGAAATAAGCTACTGTTTTGTTTTAAAGGCAAGGTCCCTCATACTCCAGGCTGACTTCAAACTCAAAAACCATTTGCCTCAGCCTCTTGGATGTTTGAGTGATGGTTTTACACCCATGTGCCACCATGATAAGCTTCTGGATTCTTATCTTAAACATGTATGTCACATATGACATTTAACTGTTAGATAACGAACAATAATTTGTTTTTCTCCATGTACTTCAAGAGTCAAATCCAAGGCTTTACATCCAATCAATCTTTTATAGTGATAAATTTAACAATTTGAAAAAGGGATGCTTCTCTGACTATGGGCAGAGCTGACATTCATGAGGCATACTAACAAATGTAAATTAGCAAGATTCTATATGGAGTCATAATTCCCCTTTGGTGGCTTACTCAAAGTTACTAAGGACTGGGCATGTAGTTCAGTTGGCAGAGTGCTTGCCTAGCATGCACAAAGCCCTTCTAAGTTGAATCCCTAGCAATGTATTAACTGGGTGTGGGCATAAATGCACAAGGACCAGGTCAAAATTCCATAGTGAGTAAGACACAGAGTTACAAGCCAATAGTCTGTGATGTAGAAGATCCTGTTTCTAAAACAAGTTCAGACGGTTCACCATGGAAATTTGAAAACTAACTAGACGTTTGATATTATTATGTAACTTCTATAAATCTGTAAAGATATGATAATGGCCTCTTGTGAGTTTGAGTTCTTAATGCCTTTAAAAGGAGGAAAGATTAATTTAGGCTCATGGGCTCAGAGATTTTAGTCCATAATCCATACCACTCACTGCATCCTTTGGGCCCATGGCAAAGCAGAACACCCTGGAGAGAGTATGTGGTGCTTACCCCACAACCTCTGGCATTTTATCAGCAATACAAAGGTGCCTAACACACACACACACACACACACACACACACACACACACACACACACACACACACGTATTAGAAATGAAATGAACAGCTTCAGGAATCTAACAAAGTCTTCCTATTCTTGCCTTCTCATTAGCTCCCAAAGCAAAAGTAAAAAGTTGTTGCTAGGGATCTGTGAACCTGTCCATAATGATGCAATGTACACATCTGTGGTTAGCGATTAGACGTTAGCACTCTTCAATGCCAAAACAGGAAGCCTAACTTTACTTTCTTAGTAGAGATAGAGAATGTAAACATTTTTTAAGTGTTTACACTTAGAAATACTTACTCTAAAAACTCACTAACAATCTATGTCTGCACCACAGAACAGTTTTAAAGAAGGTTCCATAATCAATTCATTTGGGGAAATAATGTGTAACGTATGCAGAGTATACATGTTCATCCACAGTAAGGCAATACAGCACACTATTTTGTACAGTCATTCTGATTTTTATCATATCTCTAGAACTATGTACAAGCACATACACATTCACACACACACAATTGACTTTTTCCACTTTACCATTTTGATACCCTCCCCACGGCACAGCATTTCGTACTTCTGTCTCTCTGGCAGGTAATCCACAGCAATCCCTTTTTTCCTTGGTGTAGTTTTCTGATCAGATTGGTCATCTGAAGCAGACTTATTGGTATCTTTTTCTTTAGTCATAATGTACTCAAAATATCTTAAGTTACCATTAGCTCTCTGATGTTCAGGATCTATTAGAGAGAGACAGAGTATACATGGTCAAGATTCCAGTTGTCCAATCATCAGAAAACAGTAACATAAACACAGGGATCTAAAGTTTATCTTCTTAACTAAGATGCTTTTGAGAAAGGAGGTACTAATATAAGTTGCCAAAACAAGATGTAAACTAGTCAATCAGGACAGAGCCGCCCTGTACAGAAACAGCTCTGGCGACAGAGCAGTCTTGTGTCTTTAGGCAGCAATTCTTTGAGAATTGCTCAATCTCAATCTACTTTGAGAACTTTACTCATCAGCCCCCAACCAATGTTCAATCTGATGTCAAATGACACTTTAGAGTCTTACTCAGCTGGGCACAGTGGGCACACCTTTAATCCCAGCACTTAGGAAGCAGAGGCAGGAGGATCTCAAGTTCAAGGCCAGCCTGGTCTACAGAGCAAGTTCCAGGATAGCCAGGGCTACACGGAGAAACCCTGTCACGGGGGAAAACAAAACAAAACAGTCTTTCTCATCCATGTATTTTAAGTAAGGAAAAGATCATTTTGTGGCTACAAAGTAATCACTATAGTAAAGACAAAGTAGACCCACTTCTAACTAATATTCACCACAGACAAATGCAGACCAGTTTACATCTGAGGGCTGAGGAGACTTCAGCTCTAAATTTCTAAGTAAGAAGGAAAAAGGAAACTGAAGAGATGTAATTTTCAAACATGCCAAAATTCACTAACTGCCCCAGAAATTGCTAGTGATAATTTTTAGCTACTTTCTATTCAGGAAAAACCAATCCAAACAACCACAGAGACAGAAATAAAAAAGAACAGGAAGTAGATGCATCACTTGTGGCGTTAATCAAAGCGTTCAGTTTGTAAAGTATTTTAGTTCTTCTGAAACAGATCACAATGTACATGACGGTATACAATAAGAGAGAAAAGTAAATGTGTGTAGAGAGGGAATATATACTACAGTGGAAAAAAGTTGATTCTCTTTCTCTATTAATACATTTTCGACATGGAATACAAAGTATAATTTAAATCATGAGAAAAACATACCAAAAGAAAAACCAATGTTATTTGACCTAATATCTTGATTTAGTCATTAACTAAGAAATAAACCAATTATCATAAAGTTCACTTTCAGTTCATCAATCTTTTGGAGCAGGCTCACTTTTCCAACATCATCTTAATCATAAAATAATTTATTAAATGTTCTCTCTTCATATTGTATCAAAGGATGCCTGAATTGATTATTTTGTGTATTCTGAGACTCTGTTTCCACAGACCACGGCATTTCATTGGGTAGAAATCAAGGAATCTGGGCGGCCAGAGAAACGGCTCAGGGTAAGAGCGTGGCTGCTTAAAGGACCAGGGCTCAGTTCCCAGCCCCCACGTGCTTTCAAGGGACGTGACAGCCTTTTCGGGCCTTAGTGATCACTACACACACGCAGGTGAATACTCATACACACAAAATAAGTCATTTTTTAAAAATTCTCATGTCATTTTTCTAACATTTGAATATGAAATTCAAAACAGAATTTTCTTCAAAGGAAAGTGGTTAGCAATTACTATGGCCACATGGCAGGTAAGTAAACATTTTCAACTGAGTTCTTCATCTAGGTTTGACCTATTTCTTTACTCAAAAAAAATTTTTTTTCCCCCTGAGACAAGATCCTACTGCGTAGGCCTGGCTGTCCTGGAACTCACTATATAGACCAGGCTGGCCTTAATCTCACAGAGATTCACCTGCCTCTGTCTCCCAAGTGCTTGAGATTCAAGGAGTGCACCACCATGGCCTGGCTGTTCCAGTTTTTAAATTCCCAGAGGAAATAGCAGAGGAATAGAGCAACTGCTGTGTTACTATCAAGTGACTAACTCAGTTCCGGCTTACTCTGAGAATAAGTAGTGAGAAGATAAAAGTATGTATGGTGGAGCAAGTGCTAGACTTCTGATGAAAAACACATGGCTGGCTGTGTGGTTGGAGAGACAAGTCAATAGATTTGCAGAAAGATCGTCCCGTCCCCGAAAATAATGTAAATAGGCCAGATAACATACCTAGTTCAAGAAGCTTCTTCGTGAGTAAAAGTGCCTTATCCAGGTCTCCCTGCTGGTACACGGCATAGCTCAGATAATCTAGAACAGAGACTTTATCCACAGCAGAAACCTCGCCTTCCTCCAACTGCATTAGCGCTTGTTCCATCCACAACTCTGTGTGGTAGTAATCTGCTTCTGTATAGGCCACTTTGCCCAACTCAAAGCAGTCCTCAGCTGTTAGGAAAGACTTGTGTTGCACTCCTATGGAGAGAAAACACAGAGCATTGGCCATCTTCACATCGTTCACAACTTACTTAGGGTCACACAAACTCTCCAAGTGCTGCTTCACCTTGATTTGAACTTCTTAATCATCAGTGGTAAGAACAGCAAAACTCAGCTCAATGTGCTAGCACACACCGCCGTTAATTCCAGCACTCAGGGGGTAAAGGCAGGCAGTGAATTCTCTGTGAGTTCAAGGCCAGCCTAGTCTATATAGCAAGTTCCAGGACTGTCAGAGCTACAGAGAGAGACCCTGCCTCAAAATCAATCAACCCAAAGACTGGCCCGATTTAGAAACAAACAAGAGCGCAGCACAGAGGATGACACAGCTGGTTCGGGGATGTGCCTCAAGAGCCTAAGGCCAGCCGGGCGGCGGCGGTGGCGCACGCCTTTAATCCCAGCACTCGGGAGGCAGAGGCAGGCGGATCTCTGTGAGTTTGAGGCCAGCCTGGTCTACAGAGTGAGTTCTAGGACAGGCAAAGCTGTTACACAGAGAAACCCTGTCTTGAAAAAAAAACAAAAAAAAAACACTACGAGCTGGCTCAGCAGGTGAAGGGACTGGCTTCCAAGCCTGAAGACCTACCTTCATCCCTAAAACTCACAGTGGCAGGAGAGAACTGACCCCACAAGTTGTCCTCTGACTCCCACATGCAAGCCATCGCACTCATATGGCATATACACAAAGTCAGTAAATGTAAAAAAATGAAAAGAACCCAAGATTTAGATGGAATCATGTAGCATCTATGTTACATTATAATTATTACCACATTAACATCTGTGTACAGGTCACGGTGTGGGCAGGTGTTTTCATTTATGAAGTATATATGAAGCAGATGAAGTTACCAAAATGAACATCCATCAAGATGAAGTACGCTGTTATACATCACATCAGGAATCACACTGTCTCAGAAGCAACAACAAAAATGGGATATCTATCTTATCCTTAAGGGACCTTCTGGTCAAGAGATGAACAGAGAGAAAAGCAAACCGCTGACGAGTTCACTTTGTAAAAGCAGTCCTCAGTGTCTGCTCTACCTCCTCCTTTTGGTCTCTACTTTGAGTTATGTGGACCTTCTCTGTCCGTTTTCAGTTAATCTGGTTAAGGGTTTACCAATCTTACTGATCTTCTCTTTGTTTCACTGATTCTCTGTATTGTTGCTGTTGTTTCTATTTACCGATTTCAGCCGAGTTTGATCATCCTTACCGTCTACTCCTTTTAGGTGTTATTTCCTCCTTTGGGCATCTACCCAAAGGACTCTACATTAAGAGACACTTGTTCAACCATGTTCACTGCTGCTCTGTTCTATTATTAAAACAGCTAAAAATTGGAAACAGATGTCCATCATCAGATGTGGTGATGTTTTATCTGTGTACCCCAATAAAGTTTATCTGAGGATCACAGGAAAAAGCCAGCCACTATAGCAAACATAGAGGTCGGGCAATGGTAGCACACGATTTTAATCCTATCACTCAGAACTCAGCGATCCATCAGGATCTCTGTGAGTTCAAGGCCACACTGGGAATAGAGCCAGTCTGGTAGTACATACCTTTAATCCCAGCATTAACCATAAAGGTCTGGAGGTCTGTACAGACAGACAGGAAGTGACAGAGCTGGGCAGGAAGAGGAAATGATGTAGCCAGGCAGAGAAAGGAAATGAGATGGCAGAACAGAAAGGCATATAGGCGTGAGTATTCTGGAAGTAGTCTCTTTGGACACTGAGGTGTCAGTGCGGTGAGGTTGGCTGTGGCTTGTCCTATTCCTCTGATCTCCGAGTTTTTCACCCCAATATCTGGCTCCAGGGTTTTATTAATAAGACCATTTAATAATTCGTTTACAAACAGATGACTGGATAAAAGAAAATGTAGTACACTACTCAGTTGTTTAAAAAAACAAAAACAAAAACATAGCTAAATGGATGGAACTAGAAAACCATCAACCTGAGGGAGGTGCCCCAGACTCAAGAAGACAAATGTGGTATGTGTCTGATTATATGTGCGTATTAGCTGTTAAATCAGTATAACCAGAGGTGAGGTATAGAATAAGGGACTAGTGGGGAGGAAAGGATCTCCCTAGGAAGGCGAAAAAGAACCGTTATGGAGGACCAGGGAGGGTGGGGGTGGGGCAAAGACAACTGGGATGGGAGAGTCAAACAGGGAAGGGATTAAGGGAGGGAAAACACTTGTCTTGTCCCACTTTTTTGTCTTTCTCTCTCTCTCTTTTTTTTTTTTTAGAAACCTGTTTGTATTCTAATGGAGAGAGAAAGAAAAGAGTGTGGACTTGGGTGGGTGGGGAAGTAAGAAGGATCCTGGAGGAGCTGGGAGAGAGGAAACTAATCAGAATATACTATATTGAAAAAACTACTTTCAATAACAAATGACAAACTATTCCTGTTAAATTTACACATCACCCCATTGAGGGAGTGAACCCACCTTTAGTGGGCAGGCCCTCCTATTTCATTCTAGTATTAAAGACAATCCCCCACAGGCAAGTCCAGAGGCCCATCTCTTCCCAAGGCATTCTACTTTGGTCAAATTGACAATTAATACTAACCAACAAACTGACAAAAGAAACAACTTTGCTATACATCCCTGTGTGGTCGGGTACTTGTTAATGTACCAGGCTGGCCTCAAATCCATGGCGGTGAAGTCTCAATAGCTGGAACTGGCAGAGAGACATTAAACCATAGCAGATAACAAATCCTACTTCTTACTAGTTCAGTGTGATAGAATTCCAGACACCAAAGAGTCATATGAAGTTTTGACCCTCACTGCTGTGCGGCTGGTATGTGTCTGAAATGAGCTCACGATCCAGCAAGTCTAGTGTTTGGGGCCACAAGGCACAACGGGAGAGTATGGACATGAACACATGCAGGCCACACAGTAACAGTCTGTAAGTGACAATATGTGGCAGTGTGGATGACAAGCATGATGATAAAGGGCAGAATATCTTCTGCTTTGGCAAGGTGATTATGACTTAGCTATTATCTATTCACAATTATTACAGAAGACTGTATGGGAACTGGGTGCTTCAAACAAGAAAGTAAAAAAAAATCAACACAGCACCTGAACATGAGAATATTCCACGGTGGGCATGAAGGAAACAAGAGCAGATAGGCAAGAAAATGGAGAAATAATACAAGCCCTCTCTGGGGTGATGTTCACTGCCCTCTTTAGCCTCATGTCTCACTACTCTCACAAACCAAAGCCCATTCCTGATTCATGCAGCTTCCAGTGGAACTGTGTGGTAAGCCACACAAAGTACTTGTTAGCCAGTGTGGTGGCGCACACCACTAATCCCAGCACTGGGGAGGCAGAGGCAGGCGGATCTCTGTGAGTTCGAGATCAGCCTGGTCTACAGAGTGAGTTCCAGGACAGCCAGGGCTACACAAAGAGAAACCCTGTCTCGAAAAAAACAAAAAACAATACCTGCCCTCCCCTCTGGGGAAAAAGAGAGAGAGAGAGAGAGAGAGAGAGAGAGAGAGAGAGAGAGAGAGAGAGAAAGCATCTTCATCAATAACCATCTCTCTGTCTTGTTCTCTTACTGAGAAAACCCACTTCAGTCTGACCACAGAGCAACCTATTTTTTATTTCTCCAGCGATAGTGCAAGAGGACAGTGAGCCATGAACTCACAGAGAAAGTGACAGAAGCAAATTATCACAAAATCAGATGTAACTCAAAGTTTTTCACCAAAATAGTTGTATACTATAGTAGGTTCCTTCATACTACAGAACTTTTTTTTAATTAAAAAAATTATGTGTATGTGTATTTTGCCTGCATGTATGTTTATGTACCACATATATGCATAGTGCCCATGGAAGGCAGAAAAAGGCATCTGATCCCTTGGATGTGGAATTACAGATGGTTATAAGCTGTCTTGTGTGTACTAGAAACTTAACCTAAGTCCTCTGGAAGAACAGCCAATGTTCTTAATCACTGGACCACCTCTTCAGCCCCATACTACAGAATATTTTAATATGAGTCCATATTTAGAACATCTTAGCTTCTAGTTAATGAACATAAAAAAAAATTTTTTTAAAAGATTTATTTATTTATTATGTATACAGTGTTCTGTCTGCATGTATGCCTGTAAACCAGAAAAGGGGCAACAGATCTCATTACGGATGGTTGTGAGCCACAATGTGGTTGCTGGGAATTGAACTCAGGATCTCTGGAAGAGCAGCCAGTTCTCTTAACCACTGAACCATCTTTCTAGCCCAAACATAAAAAATCTTGATGATTAATCATCTTATAATTTTATCTACAAAGCATTTAAGTAATATCAGATGTTCTAAAGGAAAAACTGGAAAAATGACTTTTCTTATATACTGGAATTCCTTCCTTAGTTGCTGCTTTCACAGCATCAAGATAAAAGCATTACCCCCCTGCCATCAACTCCTAGAGAAAGGGAGAGTTTTCTTTTGTTCTCAAAGAATAGAAAGCAGGACAACTGCGATGGCCCATCAGGTGGATCACCAGATCCCTCCCTCCCACGGAAGAAGGAGAGAAGCAACTCCCAGGCTGTTCTCTGACCTCTAAATGTGCCCTGGCACGTGCAAGCACCCATATACTCTCATATCCTTGCAAATACCAACAACCAATAACTTTATTCATAAGAAAAAAAGAGCCGGGCGGTGGTGGCGCACGCCTTTAATCCCAGCACTCGGGAGGCAGAGCCAGGCGGATCTCTGTGAGTTCGAGGCCAGCCTGGTCTCCAAAGCGAGTTCCAGGAAAGGCGCAAAGCTACACAGAGAAACCCTGTCTCGAAAAACCAAAAAAAAAAAAAAAAAAAAAAAAAAAAAAAAAAAAAAAAAAAAAAAGAAAAAAAGAAAAAAAAAAAACAGGTGTTGGTGGTCCAAGCCTTTAATCTCAGCACTCAGGAGGCAGAGAAAAGGCAGAGCTCTGAGTTCCAAGCCTGCCAGGACTAAATAGATCCTACTCAAAATAAATAAATAAATAAAATAAAATAAGCTACATTTGAAAATTTTAAGATAGAAAGCCAGGTGTAGTAATATCTGCTTGAAATCCCAGAGGCTGAAACAGGAGGACTGCCATGAGCTTGCGTTAGAGACCAGCCTGAACTGCAGGAGACTCCGTCACAAACTTTAAGATATAAATTACTCACATTCTCCTAGTGGGCTGAAGACAGCAGCTGGGTGACAAACACTGATGGAGGGGAAGAATTCTCTTACCTGGAAGATTGCCCTTTGAGATGGTGTCTGTGTCCAGATTATAGGTGTCTTGCAGACGAAACAGAGCTTTAGCGGCCCCAACCTGATCTTCATCATTAGGGAAGTACTGCCTCTGAATGGTCAGGTTAGAGATAAAGCCTTGAAATAGAAAAGACAGTGGGGAAGGCTAGGCTGTAAATATTCATTGACTTTTAATAGAAATGCACTGACTTTTAAGAGTATAAAAAAAAACTTACAATTTTTCTACCTTAACATGAAATTTCCACATGTTCACCAAGAAGAGAAACACATTGACATTGATGGAACAGACCATTAACTTCAATTCCCTAGTCCCATTAAAATGTAAGCAATCTGAGGTCACTTCAGAATTCGTATTAGTCATTGTTACACAACACAACAAGAAAAAAGGAAACAAGCCGGGAGGTGGTGGTGCACGCCTTTAATCCCAGCACTCGAGAGGCAGAGGCAGGCGGATCTCTGTGAGTTCGAGGCCAGCCTGGTCTATAAAGCGAATTCCAGGAAAGGCGCAAAACTACACAGAGAAACCCTGTCTCGAAAAACAAAAAAAAAAGAAAAAGAAAAAAGGAAACAACCCAGAGGCCAAGGATGGTAGCACATGCCTCTAAATCAAGAACTCCTACAACAAGAGGATGACAAGTGTTTGGGCCAGCCTGGGATACATAATAAGACTGTCTCAAAATGCCCAAACAAGCCAGGCATGCTAGCCCTTAATTCCAGCATGTGGAGGCAGAGGCAGGCAGAATCTACGAGTTGCAGACCAGCTAGTACTACACAGTTAGACCCTGTCTAAAAAAATACACAGAAGGTTGGGCAGTGGTGGCACACGCCTTTAATCCCAGCACTTGGGAGGCAGAGGCAGGCAGATCTCTGTGAGTTCGAGGCCAGCCTGGTCCACAAAGCGAGTTCCAGGAAAGGCGCAAAGCTACACAGAGAAACCCTGTCTCCAAAAAACAAAAACAAAAAAAAAACAAAACGAAAAGAAAAGAAAGAGAAAACCCACCGAAGAGACATACAGAAAATACAAAGTTGGTGATGTAAAATACCTGTCTAAAATGCACAAAGCCCCAGGTTCCATCCTCAGGACCCTTTTCCTGACAGACATAAACACTATAGGATTTATATAAACTATATTAAAGTCAAACTAACAAGTGAGTTACCTGATAACTATATAGCCCCTAAAGAGAATGGATTATAAACACTCCTTTAAAAAAATAAACAAAATCAAAATGTGATTCAAAATTTTAATAACACTAATGTCACCATTGGAAATTGTTTCATTAATTTACTATGGACTATATGTATTTTGATCACTAAACAAACATCATATATTTTTTAATGGTAATGTACAACTGAATATTTAGCTGGAAGACTAGCATTTATATCAATACTTTCTTTTATTTTATTTTATTTTATTTTGGTTTTTCGAGACAGGGTTTCTCTGTTTAGTTTTGGTGCCTGTCCTGGAACTCACTCTGTAGACCAGGCTGGTCTCGAACTCACAGAGATCCGCCGGGCTCTGCCTCCTGAATGCTGGGATTAAAGGCGTGCGCCATTGCCGCCCAGCCTCAATATTTTCTATTTTAAAACCAACTTTTTCACATGAAATTTCATAAGCAAGTTTTACAGAAGAATATGATTTTTTTCTTTTTGTTTTTTTCAAGACAGAGTCTCATTAGCCCAGACTGGCCTAGACCTCAGAGATCCACCTGCCTCTGCCTCTTGAGTGCTGGGATTAAAGGCGTGCGCCACCACATCTGGCTCTTATGTTTTCTTATGCATCAAAACAAACCTAATATGCTGCTTAAGTTCTCCCAGAGAAAAAGAGGAAAATGTATGTGACTTTATATATATGTAAATTGTATATTACATATAATACATTATATATTATATAATATTCTATTATTGCTATAATTGTTTTATATATAATATACATAACTATTTACAGTGGTGACATTTGTGTTATTAAAATTTTAAATCACATTTTGATTTTGTCTTTTAATTTAAAGGAGTGTTTATAATTCATTCCCCTTAGGGGCTATATAGTTATCAAGTAATTCACTTGTTAGTTTGATTTTAATGTAGTTTATATAAATCCTATAGTGTTTGTGTCTTTTGGGGAAAGAGTCCTGAGGATGGAACCTGGGGCTTTGTGCATTTTACACAGGTTCTCGTTCTCGCTCGCTCTCTCTCTCTCCCTCACCACTCCCCCAAATATATGGTTTTTGACTGTGTGTGTGTGTGTGTGTGTGTGTGTGTGTGTGTGTGTGTGTGTGTGTGTGTGTATAATTATGGGATGACTACCACACACAAAAATGCCAAAGTCTCAAGGTTGACATTATAAAAGAACTATAGGTCATTACTGTAGAATGGGGTGTGTGTATACAAAAGGTGTATTTCCTTATAAATGGTCTCAGGTGTTAATATAACGGGAAACCCTGCTCATGGTAAAGAAGTCTCCACAAGCATCTGTCATTACTTTCCACGGTCCTATAGGTAGCGGTGTTCCATCCTTACCCACAGGAGACCCACTGCAAAACTTTTGGTAGTTGAAAGAAAGCAGGGCTAGTACCAAAGCCTTACAGACTGTCTTTCTTCTACATACATGTACAAGTTCAGTACCTTCTCTAGCTAACTGAGGTGCTCACCATGCAGCATGAGCACAGCTTTTGTAATCTGAGGTGCAACAGCAAAACCATAAAGAACTTATTTTTCCTTCTTCACAATTTAATGAATGAGACTTACTCTTACCAAGGATCTTAGGGACTTCTATGTTTTTTCCTTCATTTCTAAGTCAAGAGCTTTCACTTACAGGAACACTGTATTGCTTCTAACACATCCAAATTGCAGCATCATTATGCTTGCACTTGTGGATTATGTGTGCTCCGAGGGTTACGTAACACTATGAAATGTGAGACCACAACAATGCCCTGAGAACAGAGGATAAGGAAAGGGGCCTCACATCCCAGGAGGGCAGCAGGAGTTCATCTCACAGACAAAAGCCACAAAACTTTCAACTTACTTACTATTCCCTTTTGAAGTTTTCCACACTTTGGACCTGTGGCTAACTGTAACTATCATGATAAAGAGGTTTACTTTACTGCTAACACTGGTAAGCATTCTAGAGAGTATTTTTATCTCCACAGTTCAGCTTGCTCTTTTTTCTTTCTTCTTTAAATCAGTCATGCAGTCAACAAATAGTTGAGCTTCTACTACTGTACACTACAAAATGCCTTTACCTCCTTAAATTCCAGGCTTGGTTTTCTTTGTTATCTAGAACAACAACATTCCAACTACAATTTTATTATTTCATGTACAAAGACTTGTGAGTATTAATGTCTGTAGCTTCGTTTTTTTTGTTTGATTGTTTGTTTAATTTATTGCCTACATTAAGTAAAATAACCCTAAACACAAAATACTGGGTAGAACAGTTAACATTCCTCTTTGTGAAGACAATTCCCAATTGTTTTCACCCTTAGAAATGAAGTTATATTCCAAATAATCTAATCATTTCTGTAGATCAAAAGGTAAAACCACCCACGTTGTTGCAAGTATTAAAAGTTACCATTTTTTTTAATCAAATGCTCCAGAATCTCTAGTCAAACCAAACATACTTGCAATAATTCAATTAACAACATAAACATCTGCTGTACTAACAACTGAATTAGTGTTTGGTTCTCAAGTCTCTTTAAACTTACCATCTGACATATCCTTGAGGACCAGATTCTCCAACTCACTCCACTCAGTGTTCAGACGTTTCATTAACTTGAATGCATTTACAGGATGCCCAACAAACCCTTCTGGATCTTTTGTTGCTGTGTTGGTTAGTCGGTCTAACTTCTCCGCCCATCTACAGACATAAGACATCAAAGCAGTATACTAAGCCAGGCATTGTGGCACATGCTTTTTTTGTTTCTGAAAAGATTTTTTTCCACACAATATATTCAGATTTCCCCTCCCCCCACACCTCCCCACTTCCCCAGCCACCCAAATGTGGCACGTGCTTTTAATCCCAGCACTCAGGAGGCAGAGGCAAGTGAATTCAAGGCTAGCCTGGTCTACACAGCAAGTCCCTCTCCATCCCCTCAAAAAGAGTGTACCAAGGAAAATCACATAAAGTAAAGAACTTGGGAAAAGGGACTAATTATAAGCTTTTCATTTAAAGCCATTGATTACAACTTCCTTTAAAATAAAATTATAAAGACTCTCTAAAACACAAGATCTTACAGATAAAAATCTAACTTATAGAATAAAAAATACAACCATATAACTTTTGTTTTAGATTATTTCTCCCAAATGGAATCTTATCTCAGTCAAAGCTAAAATTTAATCACTCAAAACTTTCATTTCCCCATAAGTCCTAGAAAACTTTAATTACTATTATAATAAAAATGAACTGGCCCTGCCTAAATTCTGTTAAGTATGCATTTAAAACAACTTAAGATTCTTAAAAACAAATTTGTATTTTTTTTCTTATTTTTATATTGTGTATGAGTGATCTGCCTGCATGAAGGTATGTTTACCATGTGCAGGCTTGGTGCCTGAGGAGGCCAGAAGAGGGTATCAGATCTGGAACTGGAGTTACAGACAATTGTCAGTCACCTTGTGGGTGCTGGAAATTGAACCTGAATCCTCTGAGAGAGCAGCCAGTGCCCTTAACTGCTGAGCCATCTTTCTAGCCCCTTATACAATGTTTTTTTCTTTTTTAAAAAATATGTTGCCACTCAGGCTAGCCCTGAATCTCTGGACTCAAGAGCTCTCTCTGCTTCCTCCCCTGGAGTAGCAGTGAGTACTGGTACATGACATTGAGTCCAGCCTAATTCATGCTAATTATTTTATTATTATTATTATTATTATTATTATTATTATTATTATTTGCTTTGTTTTTCTTTTTGAGAGGTCTTACTGTATTATGCAGTCTAGACTGGCTTTCATTATGATCCTCCTGCCTCTACCTCCCAAGCGCTGGAATTACATGTGTGTGCAGCCATGTTTGACTAATTTACAGCAAATCTTTAAACTCTATGTAGAAAATGAGTTTGAAAGCAGAAACATCATCAGCCAGGTGCACACCTTTAATCCCAGCACTCATCAGGCAGAAGCAGGTCAATCTCAGTGAGTTTCAGGTCAGCCAGTGCTACGGTGAGACACTTTCAAAACACACACATAAAACAAGAACATCAATACTGAGACACTCATTAAACAAAGCACAAATTCTCAGGATTAACTATAAATCTAAGTCAATAAAACTAACACTCAAGAAAAACCACATGGTTTTTTATATTAGATAACACTAATCATGCTTATCACTGTAAGCTCTACAATAGAATCTCATGAGTAGAACTGGAAAAGTGTTCAGCAGGTGGCTTATTTGGGAGATTATGGAAGATATTAGCCTGACTTCTACATCCTCATTCGTCCATATTCTTCTACACTGTGATGGTTAATCTTGACGGTCAACATCATTAGATGGAGAAGTTCCTCTTAAAGGAAAGCTTTGGGTGTGTCTGTGAGGTGTTTTCAGAGACGATTAAATAGGTAGGGAAGACCTACCCTGAATGCTGGCAGCACCTTCATAAGTTAGGGAAGGAGGAAGTCTGCTATCCCTCCATTCTCTACCTCTGCTGCTTGTTTTATTGGAATGGAACTAGATCATCTGAACTGTGAGACAAAGTCCATACTTTCTCCAAGGAGTTTTTGTCAAGTTACTTTGTCACAGCAATGAAAAGGCTAACTGGGGACTAGGGAGATGGCTCAGGTGGTATAAAGTGCTTGTCACATAAGGATGGGCACTTGAGTTCAGATTCCCAACACCCACACCAACAGTGGTGTGTGCCTGTAATTCCAGTGCTGGGGTAGCGGAAACAGGAAGATCCCGGAAAGTTACTGGCCAACTAGTCTTGCCTGGTTCAGTTAAGAGACCCTGTCATGCCAGGCGGTGGTGGCGCACGTCTTTAATCCCAGCACTCAGGCGGATCTCTGTGAGTTCGAGGCCAGCCTGGGCTACCAAGTGGGTTCCAGGAAAGGCGCAAAGCTACACAGAGAAACCCTGTCTCGAAAAACTTAAAAAAAAAAAAAAAAAAAGAGACCCTGTCTGAAAAAATAAGCAGCCAGCCACAGAGGAAGGTATCTAATGTCAACCTTTGGCCTCTACACACACGTGCACTTGCACCTGCAAACATAAACATGTGCATACACCTACCACACAAGCTGACACACATGAACCTGACCCAGGATTAACCCATTCTCCTGTGCCCACTGCTTCAGACGTTCTAACTGGCTTTCATTTCCACTTGATGCTTCAGTGCAAAAGAAAACATTCAGGTAGAGTTGGAGTTCTAGTAAGGAAAACACACTTACTTTTTGATTTGCTCTAACTTGTCCTCTTCTGCTTTGATATAATCTTTTAGTGATGTCACCAGGTCTTTCTCAGTATGGATCAAATCAGTCATCTGACCTACATGGGAAGAGAAAGGTTATTAAATATTCATTACTATAAACCTTTAGCTACAGGAGGATTTAACTGGAGTGGAACAGAGATTATAAAGATGTTATAAAGGGTCATTTTCTCTCCTTTTTTTAATTCACCATATAAACCAAAATTAATCCAAATAAAATTCTAATCATGAGTTCCAGTTCCAGTTTTTGTAACTAATAAATTTTGCAAACTTAGATTATGTTGGGAAATGGTATTTTCATTTACAAACTTAACAAATAACACTGCTTTCCAAGAATTACTGTTTCTTCTTTACTGCCTCTGCTCTTATATCTCATCTTTTGTGTTCAAGATTAGTTGGGATCAAACTTTTCATTAAAAAAAAAAAAAAAAAAAAAACTACACACACTTGAAACAGTTGCAAAAATAAATTTTTATTTTTTGAAGAATAAGAGAGCTCATCATTTTGTATATGGAAACTAAGTGTTAGAAATATTTATACTTCTGTTTTAGTTCTGCAATTTTAAAAGGGTCAAAATGGTCACTAGAATGAAGGGAAACATCTCTTTTAACACTTCATTTTATATATCAAGTGTACAGAGAGGAAATTACAGAGAGACATAGCTCAAACTTTAGGCAAGGCCTATTCTGAGAACAAGGAAGGGCGGGAGATCTTACAGTCTATACATTTGCTCTTTAGAGCCCCCCACACACAAACTCTGCTTTAATCTACATACTTAGTTTGTTTAAGACAGTTTCTCTGTGTAGCTCTGACTGTCCTGTAACTCAATCTGTGTAGACCAGGCTGGCTTTGAACTCACAGAGATTCATTTGAACTCACAGAGATCCACCTGCCTGCCTCTGCCTCCAGTCCTGGTATTAAAGTCATGCACCACCACACCCAACTATCAATAACTCTTTGGTATGCTTGTCTAAATTTACCTAAGTTTCTAAGCAAAAAACCTGTCACTTCTGTAATCAGGAAAAATTAATTTAAAGGAAACCAATGCAGGCAGTACTATAGTTACTGCCCAAGCACTACACTCTTATAGTGTACTCAATAAACTATCTTTAAAAAAGAAGAAAAGCAGACAGACATAACTGATTGTTTTTAAACTGCCCGTTTAGATAGGCAAGGGGTAAACCAAGGTTAGTCTTCAGGAATATAGTACATTTATTTTTCACTAATTTAAAAATACAAAAGCATTTACATTTTAAAATGTAGAACACAGTTAAGTCATAAATGGTAAAGACTTACCAATTGAAGTAAAAAAGCCTGGATGGGCTGAAGACTGAGGAAGTAGAATCCCTATCATTAAAACACACCAGATCATCTTGGAAGACTTCACAGGGTCACACACCTACAAGAACACAGCCATTAGTCTCCAGGCTAGAACTGATGTTAATTTTTATAAACCAATTTAATAACAGTTAATTTACAATTTTAAGTTAGATGTTCCATACTAGAGAGAAACTTCAACCCCTTTGTTTTCCTGTTACCATTAGAAGAACAACTAACAGCTGTAGTTTCTTTTCAAGATGTATTTTTCTTAGTTGTATGTGTACACACTGTGTAGCTATGCACACAAGTACACGTGTCCTTGCAGGCCAGAGGCATCAGATGCCCTAGAGCTGAAGTTACAGGCAGTTGTAAGCTACCAGATATGGGTGCTGGGAACTGAACTCAGGTCCTCTGGAAGAGCAGAAAGTATTCTTTTTTTTTTTTTTTTTTTTTGGTTTTTCGAGACAGGGTTTCTCTGTGTAGCTTTGCGCCTTTCCTGGTACTCGCTTTGGAGACCAGGCTGGCCTCGAACTCACAGAGATCCACCTGGCTCTGCCTCCCGAGTGCTGGGATTAAAGGCGTGCGCCACCACCGCCCGGCGAGCAGAAAGTATTCTTAACAGCTGAGCTATCTCTCCAGTCCCAGCTGTGGCTTTTTATTTAGTATGAAAAATAGTTTTCCCTTTGAGCTAGATCTAAAACACAAATTTCCCACAAAAATATACTTTAAACATCACCAATATATTTTAAAGATGTTAAAAATGGTTTAAAAGAAAAAAATATTCAAAGCTCTCTAGTTCTTTTCTTTTTTCTTTTGATTTTTTGGAATAGGGTTTCTCTCTGTAGCCCTGGCTGTCTGGAACTCACTATGTAGACCAAGATGTCCTTGAACTCCTAGAGATGAGTCTGCCTCTGCCTCCCGAGTGCTGGGATTAAAGGGGTGTGACACCACTGCCAGGCTCCCAAGTATGGTTCTAAAATTTAAAACCCAAAGTTGCGGATTTGGCGGTGATAAAAATGTTCTAAAACCGAGGTGACTGAATATTTCATAACTCTGTGAAAGGACTGACTCATGAATGATGAAAGAGAGAGGATTGTATGGTATATTAATTAAACATGAATTAAGCTATGCTATTTCTTTGTTTGTTAGAGACAAGGCCAGACAGGATGGCCTTGAACTTACTACGTAGCCAAGGATGACCTGGAACTTCTGATCCTAATAACTGGGATTACAGGTATGTACCACCATGCCCTGTTTATGTGGTACTGGAGATGGAACCCAGAGCATGATAAACCCAGAGTATGTTAAGTACTGTATCAACTGAGCTACACCCCCAACCACAATGCTATTATTTCAAGTTGTGGAGAATGCCAAAAGAATTAACAGCCCTGTATATTTAAACTAGTAATTTCTCTTAAAGACACAGTTTTTGAGGACTAGCTTTGGAGGAAGGAAGTAATAACTTTTAGGAAGGACTAACTTCTCTTATTATTGTGTTCTATGTTAAAAAAAAAAATCCAAGGGCTGGAGAGATGGTTCAGAGGTCCTGAGTTCAATTCCCAGCACCCATATGGTGGCTCACAACCACCTGTAATAAGATCTGGCTCCCTCTTCTGGGCTTGCAGGGATACACGCAAACAACACTGTATACATGATAAATAAATAAATCTTTAAAAAAAAAATCCAAGCCTAGTACACAGCTGTGATTTCCCCCCTAATTTCAACCTTGTAGCAAAGCCTTTCTTTCTAATTTTTTTCTTTTTCCATTCTTCTGTGTGTGATGCACATGTGCATGCACGCATAGCCTGAGGCGGATGTCTGGAATCTCCTAATCACCCTTTTAATTATTCATTGAGGCAGGTTCTTTCAACCAAACCCAGAGCTCACTCATGGCTAGTCCCTGGAGCCAGCTTGTTCTAGGGATCAGGGTTTTGCCATCTAAGGCTGGACTCACAGAAGACTGCCACACCCACTTGGCATAAAACCTGCATTCTGGGGGTCTGAACTCTGGTCCTCACAGTCGTTTAACCACAGAGCCTCTCACCCCTGCCTCCGGTCTTTTCCCCCAGTCCCTGGAACAGTCTTTCCTAGTGAGGACTACTCATGACAAGGAGGGTCTTAAGCAACCACGGACAGGCTCCGCCTTGCTTCACCCACTACATTAGCACTCTTCCTCCTCCCACTGCGTTACGGCCCTCCTCACTACAGTGGGGCTTGCTTCAGAAGCAGGTTCCCATCGGTTAGACTGACTTGCCAACCTGTTCTTGTAGGCATCTCACTGATCTTTCCCATGTGAATCTGTCTAAACCAACAGACTTTTCAGACGCATTTCATAAAAGCTGAAAAGTACCTTTACCTTCACCCTTATGTAGAATCTCAGTAAAAATAGATCACCGCAATAAAATGGCATTCTGGAAGAACTCCTATATCTCCTCCCTCAAGTTTGCTACAAGTTTCCAGATCCTTCCAGAAGCACACAGTAGTGAGATCCAGCTTTCTTGGCTGCTTTACAGAGAGTGATCTAGGGAAAGCTTCTAGAATGTAGCAGATGCAGGCACTTCCTCTCTTGGGCTCCTGCCAAAGCACAAGACTTTTTCAAAACACTGGGCTATCTGAAGAGTCTAGAATTTTCTCAGTGTTTAATCAGATTTCTGCCATAATTTTCTTAATGAGTAAATGCTATTTCCAGAAAAAAAAATTACACGTTTTGATTATATTAACAGAAGGCTAATCACCAGTATTGTGTAAATTTTTAACTCTTATGATAAATTTGAGATCTGTCAGATAAGATTTTTCATTACTAAAATATAGTTATTAAAGATTCTTCGTTACTTGCCATTTTCTTTAAACCTCATAATAAATCAAGAACCATTAGCTTACAGAAATAACAAAAAAGCAGCTTTAAGATGGCATTTTCTTCAGTAACCGTATTTTTTTAAACATTTCCCTTTTTAAAAACTATTGGTTTAGATTTATTTAAATGTCTGAGTGTTTCTCTCTGGAGCATATATGTGCACCGCATGCATGCATGGTGCTCTCAGAGGCCAGAAGAGGGCATCAGACCACCCGAGACTAGAATTTTCAGCTGGGACTAAACCCCAGAGCCCCTGGAAGAAGAGACAGTGCTCTGAAGTCCTGCACCACCCCTCCAGCCCTGAAAATCTATACCTTTAATAACTACAGAGCCTCTACAAAACCCCAGAGCACTAGGAATAAAGAATAAATGTCTGCTTCTTCAAAATAAAGTTTGCAAAGATCAAACAGTGTAACAAAACAAGTTATAAAGTCTTGGAAAGCTGGGAATTGATAAGCTTAAAATAAGAAAATGGGTGCCAGTAAGACGGCTCAGCTGGTAAGGCACTTGCCAACGAACCCGGTGGGTGGCCTGAGTTCAGTCCCCAGATCTCATATGGCTCAAGGAGAGATCGAGCTCCTGTTAGTTGTCCTCTAGTCTCCACACACAAATCATGATACAAGCTCCACCCCCAGTAAGTTAATTAAAAAATAAAAAGTACACCTTTAAATCCCAGAACTCAAGGAGGCAGGGGCAGGTGGAGCTCGGTCAGTTCAAGGCCATCCTTGTCTACACAGTGAGATCCTGTCTCAAAAATAAGTGGCTAGAGTATGTAATGCCCTTACAGAGAATCTGAACTTGGTTCCCAGCACCCACATCAGGTACCTCATAACCACCTGTAACTCCAGCTCCAGAGAATCTGACTCCTCTGGCCTCCATAGGCACCTGCACTATAAGCATGTGCATGTGTGTGTGCGCAAGAGCTTGCACAAGCTTGCACACACACACACACACACACACACACACACACACACACACACACACACGGGTGGGGGAGGTGAGAGGGAGAAAGGAAAGAGAAAACAATCTATCAAAATCCAGATGGTATAAAAATGAATAATAGGTCTGTAGGGACCACTGAAGTGGCCCAGTGGGTAAAGGCTGCTACCAGCCTGAGGACCTGAGTTCACTCCTCAGGACACACATGGTGGAGAAGAAAAGTGACACCAAGTTATCTTCCGACCTCCGCTGGAGCACCATGGCACACACGAACATCCAGGCACACAAAGTAAATAAAGTGCAATAAAAGAAAAATTTAGATGAAACTGTCTTTTATAATTCTACTGAGGAGTCCTCACAAAAAGATACCAATAGGTAAATGGATAAAGAAATTAGAAATTCAAAAGGAGAAACTATGCTAACAAAAAAATGTTCAAATTTGTACATCTGTGATCCTAGCATTTGGGGAGGCTGAGGCAGAAGTTCAAACCCAGCCTGTGCTATATAAATAGTGAAAGTGTCTCCAGCAAAACAGAAGGGGGAAAAATTAACATGTAATATAGTTGGGACTATGTAAGAAAATATGCAGAAGGAATTCATGAGAATGTAGAAGAGCATTAGGTGACTTTTTATATACCTCTGCATATTTTCCTATGTATGCATAGATGATGTATGTGTCGGAGTGCACACATATGGAGGTCAGACAACTTTGTGCATTTTGTTCTCTCCTTCAACCTTTACAAGGATCCTGGGGTCCAAACTCAGGTCCTCAGCGCTGTGTGGCAAGTGCTTTACACACCGAGCTACCTTGTCACCTACCCATTTTCCAGGTGTCTTATCTGGAGGTCTATCTGAGGGCAAACCAACTATGAAGTAGTGAACTACGCTGTCATGGTGGCATGCCTGCTCATTCTCCTTCTTCCTAGAAATAGACACACAACCCAGAGCAAGCCAATCACTGACCCTCTTCCTCACGAACATAATGGTTAAGGAATGGGCTTGTGACTGGGAGAAAGCAGGTCTTCATGGAATTGCTTAACTCACATGTGAACTGGGGTCGGACCTATGACTATTTTTCCTAGTTCTCAAGGATGTATCCAACCAATAAAGACAAAGTAATATAGCATCAAGTACTTCTAACCACAAGGCCTCTCATTCTTTACAACTGGAGCACTGAACCAGTGAGATATCCCAATAACTTCCCAATACACCGAAGGAAGCCTCTTATATAAGTCTTTTTTTTCCAGGCTACTTTAAATTGGATTTTATCATTTGCAATATAAAGTTCAGGCCTATACAGCATCACTTCAAACAACCAGCAAGACAAGCTAATTGTTTCCATACAGCTATGGTTCTCAAACCGCCAAATCAGAACCATCCAAAGATCTGAGATAGGCAGGTAATTTGTACACATATCCAGGTGCTGCAGACGTTGCTGGTCTGCGTCTGGTCTGCCGACAATACTTGGAGAGCCACTGGATACAGAAAAACACTGAAATCACAACAACAGGACTCGTTCTTTAAAATGGTTTTACACTTCAATTCATCTTTCAGAAAAACAGACTCACTCTAATCTGTTTCAGTACCATGTCTCATTTACTCATATTCACTGAACAACCTAAGAGGCATGTTAATAGGCAGACATAGCTTTATTAATCACAGGGTTTTTTTTAAAGCATAATGATTTTCTTAATTACTATGTCCTACTTCCATTTATTTCTACCCTTCAGGTCTGCAAAAGCAAATCACTACAGAATACTTAAGAGTCAGGCTTCCCAAGGGCTACTACAGCATTAAGAAATAGTGAGATATAATCGCCTTCTGCTCTAAGTCTTCACGCAGGGAACAGAATTTAAATAAGCCAAAGTAAATACAATCTCTCTCATTTTATGGTATTTCTTTATTTGGTTTTTCTGAGACAGGGTCTCACTATGTAGTCCGTGCCCGCCTTGAATTCCCAGAGATTCCTCTACTCCTGCCCCTGGAGTATTGAATGGAATCTCTTCAGAGGAAAAACTAAGTATGAGGACTCCGAGAAGACCTGCAGAGGAGAAGACTTAAGGGATGGAAGGAGGAGAAAACGGACAGGATGCCAGGATAAACCTGGAATCGTGGAATAGGAATAATTTCAGAGCCCAGTGCGGCCCTGCAGAGCTCTAACTGCAGCACTGATGAGGCTAACGCGGAAGACTGGGAATCTGAGGCCAGCCTGGGCTACCATAATGAGTTCTCGGCCAGCCTAAGCTACAGAGCAAAACCATGTATCAAAAAAGAAAAGGATTTGATTCCTGCTTAGACAGCAGATTCATGAATTTTTATTATACAACCCTGTAACATACATGTATATGTTTAGTGTGAATGTTGCATTTTTAGAACTATGGGAGGGGGACAGAAGAGAAGCAACCTTACTGAAGACACATTCTCAGGCAGGCCTGGATAAACATACCCTGCTATCTACCGAACACATAACTTTTCTGTCATGCTTCTTTCAGGAAAAGTCCAGCCCCACACACTCATCAGGTCAATCAAAGCTAGGAACAGGTTTTGGAATAGTTCTACTACACTGTAAACATTTACAGTGTTATCAGCAGTCATTGAGTTTCAAGTACAAGTTATTTAATGGATTACTAGAACAGGACATCTGGCAGATACTTTATTATCCTTTCAGCCTCATATTTTTCTTCTAAAAAAGTTGCAACGTTTTAAGAAAATTCCTCCTTCCCAGACACATCACCCAAATCTTAACGGAGATGAAAGAATGCTTGATATTCTAATCTAAACTTTGCCTGACATTAAAGTTTTTCCACAAGGCTCTTTTAAGTCTCTCCCTGCCTCCCATACTTGCGTCAAACCTTTTAGAAAGCTCTAGCAGAGTTCATACTAACTGCTTGTTCTCCTGGCTTCTGTGTTCACCTTTAATCTTGTGATAGTTTTCCCAATCAACACAAACTCTGGTTCCTAATGAAGGCCATTACAACGTGCTGTGTAACTGGACTTGGCATGCTTTCCCACTCAAGTAGGACATGTTTTCCAAAACAACTAAGCAATTACTAAAAGAACTGGTTAAATTTCTAATCTTCCTTGCAATCCCTCATCAAACTGTAATTTGTCTTAACTTTATTCTATAAATTTCCATCATGCTTCTGATGGACAATTAATTTAATGCTATGGTCAGATTTTTAATAAAAATTTAGGAATCACTATTAAAATGGTCTTGTTCTTGACTTTTAGACTATTTTATTTTATTTTATTTTATTTTATTTTAGAGAGAGGGTCTTCCTATGAAGTCCTGGTTGTCCTGGAACTCACTCTATAGACCAGGATGACCTTGAACTCAGAGATCCACCTGCGTCTGCCTGAGTGCTGGGATTAAAGGCATGTGCCACCACATCTGGCTTAGACTGCCTATTTTAAACTAAACAATAGATTTTAATTGTTTCAAGCACCTTAGAAACACATAGGCAGTTCCTGTCAGGTGTGGTACCACACACCTACAATTCAAGAGACTAAAGCAGTAAGATTATGAGTTCTAAACCAGCCTAAGGGTGTGTGTGTGTGTGTGTGTGTGTGTGTGTGTGTATCCTGTCTCAAAACATACCTTTCCTAGCCGGGCGGTGGTGGCGCACGCCTTTAATCCCAGCACTCGGGAGGCAGAGCCAGGCGGATCTCTGTGAGTTCGAGGCCAGTCTGGGCTACCAAGTGAGTTCCAGGAAAGGCGCAAAGCTACACAGAGAAACCCTGTCTCGAAAAAAACAAAACAAAACAAAACAAAACAAAACAA